AATAATAACTAACAAATTAGCATCAAATTGCAACAAAATTAATAAAATTGCATTAATTTTTAAAATATTAAAATAATTTATGAAAAACAAAAATAAATCAGTAAAATGCAAATTTAAAAAAAATTTCTGAATTTTAAATTTTAATTAAACAAATTCGAATATAATTTATATAATAGAAGGGAAACAACGTTATCAGTGTTGTTACAATCATAAACGGCTGGTATCCCAGTTTATTACCTATTTGAATACAATAAATTGCTTACAGAGGCCAATTAACTTAAAATTGTTGATTGGCTTTACAGTAAAATATAAAGTAAGCAAAAAAAATAAATAATAATATTGAAAAAAAAGCAACGAATTCAAAATTTAATTTTGCATTCTCAATTCTCTCGATATTTTTACTTTGTACTTTAAATTCTAAAAAGAAAAAAATTTCTGGTTAACCTTTTTATGAAAATTTTAATTACAATTTTTTTTTTGTTTTTCTTTAAAACAAACTTGATTTTTTTCTAAATAATATTTTTTAATTGTATGTGTTTCTAAATAGATTTTTAATATATGTAAAAATGTATGTATATTAATGAAATTTTATATTTAAATTAATAGTTTGCATAAAATTGTTGCTATGCACCAATTAAATGCATAAACTTAATTTAAAATTTAAAAAAAAAAGGTTTTTGAACTTAAATTTTGGTTTTTTGTTTATTTTTACTTTTTTTCTATACAATCATATAAAATAATCTTTTATTAATATTGGTAAATATAAATAAGATATGAAATTATAATACGAGTTTCGAGCAGTCAAAAAAAAAAATTGAGAAAATTTCTCTGCACATTTAAAAAATAAATATTTTTCTTGTTTAAAAATTTTTTTGTTAGTTCGTCATTTTTAAAATTATTATAAATTGTTAGTCCGTCATTTTCTTTTTATTCTATAATATTTATTTTCATTTTAAAAACCAAATTTTTAAAAGTTAAGTTAATTAGAAAATTTAGAGGCAATAGATTAATGAGTTGTTTAATTTAAATTAACATCATATTTGAATTTAAAATCGTAACTCTAAATTATTATTAATTAATTTTCTCAAATTAATTTAAATAAATTCTCAACTATTTTCATTTTAACTTTAACTGCAATATTATAAGTATCATATTTTTAATTTTTGGCTGAACTTTTCAATTTTTAACCAAAATCTAGTAAAACTAGTCATTAAAAATTATTTAAAAATTTCAAGTTAAAAATCTACTTTACAACTATAAAATTATACGTATATAAAAATCTTTAATAATTAAAACATTTAAATTTGTAAAAATGTAAACTTATCAATAAAATATATAAGATCCAATATAAATAAATATTATAATTCCGATTATGCCAATCTTATTCTCTTTTTTTTTTATAATTTGCAATTTTCAGATTCTATTATATTCTTTGTTTTAATACTTGTTTTCATATTATTTTATATTTGTTTTTTATCTTTTTCTTATTATATACAAATATTTTGGACTTTGACTTGAATATTGATTTTATATTATAATTATGTATGTATAAGAAATAGATTGATGCTAAAAGTTATTGAATTTGAAAATATTTTACCAAAAAAAAAAAAAAAACAAATAAAAAATTTAATTCAAAATTAAGTAGAAACTGATTTAATAAATATAAAATTGGTTTTATAATAAGAAATAAATTCTAAAATTGAATAATAAAAATTCTTATAACTAAAATTGCTGTAAGGCAATTTAGTTATACTTATGTTTTATTCACATTTTCTTCCATATATTGAAATTTCAAGAAATTTCAAGAAATAGCTTTTCAATTGCCTGCCCTTCTATATTACACATACAGTATGCAAATAGGCCAAAAAAAAAAAAACAACCAGTCTTTTGTTCCAAAATTTTTAATATTTTCTTATTAAATTACTTATGCTGCATCAATAAATATTATGAAATCACAGTTCTAAAATAACTAATTAAAAGTTAATATAATGATTTTAAAATAATTTTGAAAAAAATGTATTTTTATTAACTCATTTGTTTTTTTCAGTCTACAAATATTAGGGAGAAATTTTCGAATTTCACTGAATAATTCCTATTCTAGTTAGTAAAAAAAAAAGCAATGACTGCCGAACAAGTTATGGCAGCAATATACTTGTAGAATTTAAAAAAAATTCTAATAATAAAATTTTTTATAAAAATCAGTGTTGAATTTCTTATTTGAATAAAAATCTAATTATAAAATAATGCAAGCAAATTAATAATTGAATTTTAATTAATAAATTATTTACTATAAATTATTATTAATTTTTATAATATTAAAATTACAATTTCATTATTAAACAATTCATATTATTAAGTATAAATAATTAGAGAATTTTTATAAATATTTGTATAACATATGTTATATATACATACATATTATACATAATATATTAAACATATATATATAATATAAAAAATATTATAAATTTATTTTTCAATTTAAATATAAAATATTATATTATTATTATTACTTTATATGTAAAAATATAAAGAAAATTGACAAAAACAAAAAAAAAACAAAAAGCACAGCCCCAATAAAAAATACTTGAGAAAATCTCCTTGGAATTAATTAATAATTAAAAATAAAAAATATAATCAAATTGACATGGTAACAAAATTAAAGCAAAAAATTTATTAAATTGAATAAAGAAAATATTATAATAATAAGCAACACAAAAAATAATTAATAAGTAAATGAAAAAAAAAATTTTTTTTTTTTTTTAAAACTAGATTAATATAAATAAATAATATAAAATACTTGCTTACATTTTAAAACTATTTGCATGCACATATACACATATCTCTATTTAATTATTTTCATTTTTTAAAAACTGATACGATTAGATTTTTAAATTAAAAAATAAATAAATGCATTTTTTTTTTTGCATGGAGATAAAAGGAATAATTTTTTATTATCAAGCAAATTTTTCAAATATATTGCATTATTAAAGGTTTTTCTCTTAATACCCTTATTCTTATAAAAACAATATTTTCCCACCTTTAAAGTAAAAACAAATATTTGGTCACACGTAATATTACGTTTTTGTTTTTATCTATAATTAAATTGTGTTGCTTCATATTATTTAATAATAACGACCATACTTCAGTCTCTTAGTCTATTAAAAAAAATTTTTTTTTATTATATCACTTTTTATTTTAAAAAACACAAAGCTTATTGCAAATAACATTGTTGCAATATTAAAAGATAATAATTTTAATAATAGATTCGGCATAGGTTTAAAATGTTAAATAATATATAGGTTATAAATTTGTTATGAATAGAGAATTAATGAAACTAACATACTGTATTATACTTATCTACAAAATTCATTAAATTTCGTTTGTAACAATTATATAGAATGGTTGAAATCTAATTTTTTCTTTATTTTCAATTTTGAATAAATTAATACATCAGAAATTTAATTTGCCCTTAATAAAACATGTTTTATTTGGTATATTTAGATTATTGTCGATTGCAATTCCTCTACTAAGAAAAACTTGTGCGTGACTCAAGTAAATGGCAAATATTGTGTAAAATCAATGATCAAATCATGCTTTTTTCTCTCATTTCTCCTTTGTTTCAGTTCTTTGTAAAGAAAATGTTTCCACAAAGCCGTTCCATCGAACTTTGTTTTGCTCTAATATTTTTAGTTTTACTTGTATTTTTCCACTTGTACCTATTTCATTTGCAACTGATCACATTAACAGTGGTCTCCACAAATCCCTTTTGCCCTTTGGGTAATCAAATATCGTTCAGATCTCAAATTATACTATTACAGCAGATTTCCTTATTTAAGTAACATATTACTTTTCCTAAATTAATACGAGTAACTTTTAAGTCTTAAAAATTCAAATGATTTTAACGCAAGAAAAATGTAAAATTCTAAATTGTGTAAAAAGCGATTTTATGCTTAATCTAATTGTTATAGAGAAAACTCATTTAAACATTTTTAAAAATTAAAAATCAATTAGTAAAAATTGATTTAGTAAAAATATGAGTCAAGAAGAAGGCTTTTTTTTTTTTAAATTGCAAAAAAATTTAAATTATTTTTATATTCAAAAGAGGGTATTATCTATATACACCGCACACTCTTGAAAATTTAAGAGTTTTTATATTGTAGAATCGCTTTTTGTATAATCAAATTTTGTTCTGTTAAATCTTAGACTTTTTACGTCAGCCCTAAACATTGAAAATTCATTATCAAGTTTCAGATTATTTTAAATGATATTTTTGGGCAAATGAAAAAATTTTTAGCTCAACTAAGTCTATACATAAAAATCATTATCAAAATTTAAAATTAAAAATTACATTAAAAAAATATTATTAAAATTTTGTTTGGGTTATCAGTGAGACAGGTATTAATATTAAAATAATAAAAATCTATTTTTGGATCCTAAAACATTGTTAGATGTTAAAAATTTTGTTAAAATATTTTTATTGTACAAGAGGGACTTTAACCAACTGCAATTATTTATATTCTAAATTTAAAAATATAATCGAATTGAAACTTAATTTAAAAAATATTTGTATTGTATGTATTTTTTAAAATAAGATACAAATGCTTATCATTTAAAACAAAGAATTAAAAATGCAATGAATTTCATATTGATTCACTAACTTTTGAATTATTATCCTTATCAAAGTAATTAAGGCAATAAAGATCGCCTGCATGGCGTGACCAGCATTGACCTGAATTTGGTTCGTTCTTTTTTTATTGTTATTGTTATTGTAAATATTAATTAAACTATTGAATAAAAAAACAGACTATTAATTATAAAGTTTATGATTTCGAAAATAAATGTAATAAAGAATAAATACAAACACATAAATATAATTTAAAAAGATTCTAGAACTTTTTTTTTTAATATACTTGAATGATTTTCTAATATTTCTCTATATGCATTCAAATTAATATTTTGATAATTTTAATAGATTAATTTTTGTTATTTCATTACAGAGTGGGATTGCATTCAAGGTGCAAATTATCTGACACCAATTTTACCAATAACCTCAATAAACCATTTAAAAGATAGCACCAGTGAATTGAAAAGATATTCTGAGAATGTTGATATCATACAATTATCACAGCAAACGTTTTCTCCTGAAAATTTTAATGTAATTTAATTTTTATTAACATTAATACAGTATTGATTAATTATATTTCCTTTAATTTTAGTTCCCAATTACCCCGTACCCTTATGCGCAACAATTGCAACCACAACAGACAACACAACAGGAACAAATACAACAACAAGAGGAGCCACAAAAAATTGATTATGAAAACTTTCTATGTGATTTTAATTCAACAGCTTATGAAAAACCAAAAGAAGAATGTCTTAGCTCTCCAACACCATCATCACCATCATCATCAGCTTATGAAGAATCATCTGAATCAGAGAGAGGTGACGAAATTGTTGATGAAATTTTACGTATACATACGAAAAACTTACCTGATTTCAATGATGATAATGATTCACAATATTCTTCATCATCATTTTCATCAGCTTCTGATGATTCATATAAAATCAATTCTGTGAACTCAATGTCACCAATAAGTAACCATGATTGGCCTCTACTTTCCACATCCGATGAATATTCAAGTCAAGAGAATCTCCAAAAAATCAATGACAAAACTAATGATTTCAATGGAGGACAAACAATAAAGAAACGTTCTCGTCTATATGTTCGTAATGTTGATGAGAAAAAATCACGCAAAAAGGAACAAAATAAAAATGCAGCTACACGTTATCGTCAAAAAAAGAAAATGGAAATGAAATTAGATTTAGATGAAGAACGTGGACTTTTAGATAAAAATAATGGTTTGAGAAAAACTTTTGAAGAATATCAACGTGAAGTCAAATATTTAAAAAAATTAATAAAAGAATTTTATAAAAACGATAAAAAATAAATATTTGAGCAACAACTAACAAAACTAAATAAAATATCATACGTTCATACATACATATATATAATCAAAGTTATACATCTATAATGCAATAAGAAAAAGAATAAAGGCAATTTAATTTTTCTTTCAAATTTAACATTATAAAACATTTTAAAAATGTATTTTATATGTTAGCTAGCATTGATGTAACAGAAATCATGTAGCGTTTATGACAAAACCTTTTGAATGTTTTTGAAAATTTTAGCTCTTGTACTTTTTGTTATTTTCATTGCAGCCTTTAAACCCATTAAAAAAAAAAAATAATAATGTACACTTCCAAAAGAAAAATTATTAATTATGAAAAAACAAAATATCAAAATTTTATTTAATTTCGGAAATATACTTTTGTGTACAATGGGTTATAAACAAAAATTAGTGTTTTATTTATATTTTAAGTTCTTTTATATTTTTAAATAAATTTTTTTTAGATAAATGCATTTTTCTTTAAAATTATGATGTAAGTTTTCTAATAAAACTTTTTACTCTTTCTAATGTTATGTAATAAAGCCAAAAATTTAAGTTTTTCTCAAAGTATGTATTTACATATTAACAAACACATGCCATATTTAAAAATCACTTAATTTTTTTAATGGTGTAAGATTGATTCGGAAACTTTTCGTTTTTATTTAAGACTGTTAATTATATTTTGTTTTTTTAACTTCAAAAATGCAGACCTAACATTGACTTTTCAGTAATTAAAACGTACATATTGCTTTCTTCTTCAATAGTGTACAAAATCAGTTATTTTTATTTAATTATCTAGTATGTTAATCAAATAAAGATTTTACCAATTTAATATGCCAAATCTCCATTTAAGAAGCGCTGAATTTCTATTTGAAATCTCTATTTACACAGTTGAGCATTATTGAATTATAAAAAAAACAACGTTTATAAATGCAATTACCAAAAACTTACATCAAATTTAAGAAAAAACTAACATTTTTATGGACAAAAACGCTTTTTTTTTTATTTAGATTACAAACATTTGTATGACAATGGAATTGAAGAAGAGTTTAATGAATGACTGGTGGCAATACTCTTCTAGCTTTCTTTAAAAGCTTTTTTTTTTTTTGTTAATTTTTATGATTTGTCAGAATGTACTAAAAAAAATTTGTTCTAAAAAGACATATTTTGCAAATCTATCTATATTATATGGGAAAAGGTTACATTTTAATTGACATGCGCTAGAATTTTGTATTAAACCATGAATTCGAAAACTTTGAAAAGAAAGCTTTTTTTATGTAATTTGTAAAATACAAGCTTGTAAGTAAAGAATTAGAGTTTTCTAAGTGTGTACGTATTTTAAAGAAAGAACTACAGGGTTTATCTTAAAAATTTTGAAACGATAGTTTCATAAAATTAATTTTGTGAAATTAAATATTTATATATGTACATTATATGTATGTTTATTGGATTTCAAATTTTTACAAGATTAAGTAGGCTTTTTGTCTCATAATACATGCATAATTTGTCTTTTAATATTTTAGCAATTGAATAAAATAAATGCTATTTTTCTTAATTTTTTTAATTGACTATAATGTAACTTAGTAATCATTTTAAAAATTTTAGAAATCGAACATTTAAATAACCGAAATAGTTTTTAATCAAGAATCATAGAATTAATACCAGAAATATGAAATCAAATTTAAGGGTTATTCTACTAAGAGGACTTGGCTTTTCGATACATTAAAATTGAAGAAATTGGTAAGTAAATCAAATTTGTATAGTAACATGAGAAAAATAATAAACTTAATAGCTTTTAAATTTATATACATAGCAAGTGAGTAAATAGTTTTGACAATTTTCAAAAATTCAGTTCCAATTCAGATCCAGTTTGTAAAGCATATTCGATAAATCAAAACTATAAAATTCTCCAATGTTATCATAATATTCGGTAAATGTTTGCTATAAAAGCAGAGCACGTTTATAATACTGAAAGTTCTAAACCATTTTTGAATGTTGCAAAAATATTTTAAATCTGTAAAGAATTACATAGAAAAATGTAAGATATTAAAAATCTGAAAATATAAATGAAATTAGGTCCTGTATAATGTGCAAAATTTTTTTTTTGAAATTTAAGTTAGAACTCCAACTGAATTATCAAAAATCCACTTATATTCATATGTATGTATGTATTTAGTTATTAGATTAACAATAATTCTCTTTTGAATTCAAATAAATTTTCTAAAAAAAAAATTTTTAAAAAAAATTTTTAAATTTTTCTAATTTAATATTAAAAATTCCTGCATATTTATATGAAAGTATGTATAACAGTTTAATCTTTTGTATTTTACAGTTTAAAATCGAAATTCAACCAAATTACACTTAGTCTATAATCAAATTTACATACATACATACATACATTTTTGAATTGATCAAATTTGTTGCTTTATAGTTTTTTTTACATTTTTTTTAAATCTACTTTTCATATATCTTATAGCTTTTAACTAAAGTTAACAAAAAAAAAAAAAAGCTTTTAAAGGTTTTTTTTTTGGTATTAAATTTTCTTATCCTAAAGAATTTCTTTCTTATTTCACCTTTGGATGAATAAAATTGTATTGTTAGTCAGTTTGGTTTAAAGCTTAGTAGTCCCAGTTCGAATCGAGAAAGACAAAAAACAATTGATTTGATTTTGAAAAAAAAAAAAAGAAAAAGTTAAAAATTCAATTTTGTAAGTGAAATAATTTAAGTATGAAATTTTATAATAAAAATTAATAAATTGGATTGTGTGAAAGAAAATTATTAAAAAATATTAATGAATATTTAATAAATTAAGAAGGTTGAATGAAAACTATTTTAAAATGAAAAAAAAAAAAGTTCAATTGAAAAACTATAGAGAAAAGAAAAGTAGAGTACTACAAAAAGGACATTTTGAAAAGAAATGTCTGAGTAATTAATAAAAATCGATAATTTTTTTTTTTACATCTCATATCTGGAAAAAAAATTTTTATTAACCTATATTTTATCGGTTTAACTAAAATTTTACAATTTTTAAAGTGATATTAGGAAAATTTATTTAATAATATTATTCATATAAAAAAAATTTTATTAAAATAATTATTATACCAAAAAAAAAAAAAAAATACGAGTAAGAAAAATTTTTTCACATTGAACAAAAAGAAAAATGGGTATTACATAAATCTGAAAATATATATATAAAATATTTTACATCTACATATACATACATACCTTTAAACTTATTAGAATAAAACAAAGAAGAAATAAACAATTTTCGAAAACTTTAAAATGAAAATTAATTTTTTGATTTAATTTTATTAAATTTTTTACATTTTTTATTTTTAGAATTTTATAAAAATTATTTAAAAATTAATTTGATTTTAAGGAAGTTAAAGAAAAAAAAAAAAATACTAATATTTTATTTCTTTAAATTTATTGCAATATTTTCAGTGCAGTTATGTAAGAATTTGGTAATCACAATATGGTTGTGCATTTTTTTTTTTTAAATTTTTTAACTCTTATTTAAATTTATTTAATCAAAACTTAATATATAATTTTATATAGGTATGTACTTAATAATAGTATATAAAAAATTTGGATATTTAAAATAAAATTAATATAATATTAATTTTGTTAGGTTAAAAAAATCAAAGAAAATTATCAAACTGTTATATAGGAAAATTTTTGTAAATTATTTAAAGTAATTTTTTAATTTATTATAATTTTTTATTTATTTTTTAATGTTTTGTATTTTTAAAAATATACAATTTTTCCCATATATTAATTTCTTCATATAGTAATTTTTCACATTTTTTTTTTTTAAATCAAGGATATTGAATTACGAAATAAATTTATATTATAAGTATAGAATAAAAATTATGTACATACATACATAAATTGTAATTTAAAATAAATTAATATATTTTTATATATGTATTATAATTTATATTTTGTAAAAAGTAAAATAGTATTTCCCAGGAAATAACAGAAAAAAATTTTATACGTACTTTAAAAGAATATGGAAGGTTTGAATAAATTAAGAAATGAAATCAATATTTAAAATATAATTTATGTTATAATAGTGATGTGCTATATATACAATTCATTTATATACATATCCATATGTATTTACGCTCATTATAAGTACATACATATACATACACATTTATAATAACATAAATTTGTAAAAAAAATTTTTTTTTTATTCTTTTGCATTTATTATGTACACATAATATAGTATACGGTTTATAGGGTAATTGTTCAAAAAAAAAAAAGCTAAAGACCCACTACAATATTGTAGTACGTAGAGAAGTGGATTTTTTCCCTGTAATCATCATTATATAATTATTTGTAATAATTTTTGGGTTCATTTGTCTTTCATTTAAATACTAATTTAAATAAATTATAAATTTATTAATTATTAATTTTAATAATTGCTTCTTGTTTTCTTTAAAAAATTAAGTATTATCAGACTAAAAAATAAGTAAATTGCCAATTACAAAATTACCAATTATTGATAATTTTCCAAAATGATAACCTAAATTTGGTTTTAATATACAATAAAAGTATTTGATATTACGTAAAAAAGTCTGGTTTTATTTACATATCCAGTTATATAAACATAAAATATATGTTCATGTACATGTTTATATAAAATTTATGTAAATATATATTTTAATTTCAAACACTCCCATCAGAAATTTACAAATAATTTATGTACATTTCCAGGATTTATATAATTTTCTTAAATATAATTTCTATGACAAATGGAAAATATTAAAAATATAAAAATTGAATAATATATCTACATTGTTTTCTGAAATATACAATTAAAATTTTCAATTATTATAAATTAATTTTTAACACTTGCCCTAGAATTATACAATACATATATATACACATACATAATACATACATGTAGTATTTTATGTTGAAAATGACAAATGAAATAATATTGTACTCGTATTTGTATTGCATTGTATATATATATAAATATACTTATATGTACATACATACATGTATACTTGGAATTTATTCTATAATATTTATACATTGTTTGATATTTGTACTTATTTATAGAACTTATGATTTTTCTTATATTATGACTAATCCTTTTTAATATTTTGTTTGTTTTTTTATTTTTATTCTTTTATTATCCTTATGTTATTGAAGAAAACTGTCTTTTTAAATTTAATGAACAATACATAGTTTTTCTTATATTATGCAATTTATTTTTCCATTTTGTATTTATGTATATGAATTTTATTTGACATCTCTATATTGTTATATTTTCAAGAAAATTAACACGAGGACATTATAAATTTTTTTTACAATCTTTAAAATTTGTCCTTTTCGAGTCACAAAAATTCATTTAATATATTTATATATTAAATGAATATATTTATTTAAGATTTATATGTTTTGATCAGAAGTCGGTACCTAAGATATAAACTGTTATAAAAGTTGTATTAAATTAAAAGTGTTATATAAGAACACAGAAATATGAGTAACCTTTAAGGACATTAAGTATTGACTGAAAAATAAAACTGAAAAATCTATTTAAGGTTGAATACACTTTTATTTTATTGTTTTTTTTTATTAATGTCCGAATAAAATAAATTTCAATTTCTATTTTTTAAAATGTTTTTTTAAAAAATCAAATCTTACTTTTTTATCATAATTATTCAAAATAAATTCTAAAATTATTTATTTACTTAATACTTTAATTACTAAATTTACTTAATAATGTAATATTAGGAAAGTTTAATGCCTCAAATCCAAAGTCTTTAATTATTCCCAGGTGAACAACAATATATGATTGCTTTTAATAGCCAAATATCACGCAGTTTTTTTTAATTAATTTATACATTATAAAATTAATGTGGTTGCTTGTCATTTGTACGCACCTATACATATATGGTTGTGTAATATAATATGAATATTTGGAAAATTGTGAAGGTTCTATATCTCGAACTATCCAAGTATCGAAAAAAGAAGTTCGACATTGATAAACTTTGTGTTAGAGGGATTCGAGCTCGAAGTTTGTTTAATGTTTCAAAATGCTAAATAATTAAAAATTCGCTTTATAGAGAGCTCGTGGTGTAGAAATTTGATTATATTTTATTTTTTAATTAATTTTTTATAATATAAGAAAATAAGTTAAAACTGATATTTTTTAATTTTCTCATCTTCTATTCCTATTCTATTGAATTTTGTATGATACATTATATTTTACTTGATTTTGTAAATTAAATAATAAAAATGAAAGGTGTATGTAGAGGAAAGTAATGTCAAATTAATATTAAACCTCTATAAAAAGTAATAGAACTATAAACAAAATATAACGCGCCATCTACTTATACCTACTACAAACACAATATATATGCTCTTTATTCGTTTTTTAAAATTATACAATATCCAAATATAAAATTAATTCTGTTATATGTATACATAATGTAATAATATAATATAAATGTGTTCTGTTATATTGAATGTATTAAAAATTAATGAATTAATCAATATTGTATAATCGAATATTATGATTCCTTTTTTGATTTTAATTGTATTTTTACCATTTATATAAATTTAATAAATTCATGATATCGTTATATTGTTATACATATAGCATTTTTTCTATAAGTATAAGCTATAAAGTTTAATTTTAATATTGTGACAAATATGTATTTAAAAATATTATTTTAAACTTACCATATTGTATAATTATAGTATACAAGTGATTATTTTCCAATATATGTATATACAACATCATAAATTTTTAAAGTACATATTTATTATAACACATAATTTATAGGTATGTAAATGGTATACCATACGTTATTTTATATAGGGATAGTAAATAAATAAAAATCAAAGCAAATTTTATTAATATCGTTCAAATCAAATAAAATTCAACTTTGATTTGTTTTGATAAAATAAGGTGAAAATATTAGACATCTGCAAAATAAAAAAATGACAATAAACTGATAATCATGAGTGTTTATGATAAGCGATAATAATTATCCCATTCCGATTCCGATTGTATTTTCAAAATTATTACTTATACTGAAAATAATATAAAATAATAATATTACATACAGCAATTATTAAATATGCAAATAATATTTAAAAATATTGCAAATTTACAAATTGGCTAATTAGAAACAGTTTTAAAACATGATTAAATATGACTGCTGTCGTTGAGTAGGTGTTTCAGTTCAGGATCGAAATTTTTAATTTACTTTCGAATTCTCCTTCCTAAAAAAACCTCAATAATTAAATAATTTATCTATTATTTTAAAAGGCATGTATTCTTAAAAATAATTCGAAATATTAAGCTTGAAAGTTCACATTACCCTTTGTTAACATTTTTGGAAAATCTTTTCTGTAATATTTTTTCTTTGCTATTCTTCAAGATTAAGTGTATAACGCGTCTTCTTTCAACAGTTATTATTTTAAATGCCGGTTATTATTTTAATTCAATTGTATATCAATTAATTCATTACTGCGTTAAAAAAATCATGTGATAGTAGTAAAAATAAGAGTAACTTAACAAAATAGAGCAATATTAAGTATTTGTATATAAAACAAAAATTAATTCTATGCCAATTTTATGTTCTTTGCGTATTTATAAGAATTATGTCACAAATACATTATACAATATGTATACATACAAATATTCTTAACGTAATATTGTGGCATCCTCTTAATATTAATATTGTTTACAATACATTGTATTTTATAATTATGTCAGAGATTGATAATGTATATCATGCCTGTATACTGAATTTTTTTTTTTTAAATTTTTTGTTTTTATAATATTTATTTAAAAATATCATGACATAACAAAGTGTTACATTTTAATTGATTTTAAAACACCTAAGTACATATAACCTACATATATATATATATAATATATATATATATATATATATAACTACTTATTTATTAATATACTATACACTCGTGTATATTAAAATTGTTATAATTATAACGATTTTTTTTTATAACAAACTTATTAGCATTGTCGATCTACAATCTTGAATTTTAAAATGTAATTTCTTGTTTTATTTTAAAAAGGGTCTAATTTAGTAGAATAATAAAAGCAAAACTTTCCCAACAGACAGTATATATATAGTTAGTTTTAGTTATTAATTAGATCAGAAGGTTTTTGTATTTTAAAATAATATGGATAATTAGATTTTAACTGTTAATTGAATGTACGTAATATTCTGATCTATCCATAAAGACTATATAAATATTTTTCAATATAATTATATACTCAAAAGACGACAAAAATACACATAAATGACTCGATTTTTCATATGAGTAAACTGATATACCGACACATTTTTATTTGTTACACTACTTGTACATGTAAGGGTATAATAATTAAAGGTGTTAATAAACAAAAATTTATAAAATGGAAATTGAACAAATCATAAATTTAAAAGCATAACAAATTAGTACATTTATATAAGAATTAAAAAATATCAAAGTATATTTTAGTACTTTTAATTACAAATCTGTTTTAGTATATTATAATTGTTTATTTTAATTAAAAAATTGAATGTTCAATTAAGTGTTAGTTATTCAATGCTTTTTTAATTGAAAATTTCTTCTAAGTTTTGCGTTTAATTACAGGCACGGAAAAAATTATTCTTAAATTTTGGTTCCGTTAAACAAATTTAAAAAATAGAGTTACCCAAAACATTAATAAAATGTTGAAAATAATGTACTAAATTTTTTTGGAAATTGTTTTGAATTTGAACTATGTAAATATGTATTTGTAAAATTCTTTCCAAAAATATTAAACTCGATATTTTAATGCTTTGCAGTTCATAATATAGTCAAAATATTTTTGATTAAAGTTGTATAGGTAACATTATGAAATATAACATACCCACTTAATAAGGTCTAGAACTACGTTACATTGATTGACATTCACAAAATGCGAAAATATTATACGAACAAAATGGTTGACCAAGAAGATCAAAATTTAATTCGACTACGATAACAAAATTTTTTGAAATTTTAATTAGTTTTCTCGTATTCTATATTTGACAAAATAAAATGAGAAAAAACTTTATTCTTATTTAGTACTTTAGTACTTTTATTCTCATATACATATTACATACTATAGTAATAGTACTTATTACTCAATAAGCTTTTTTAGTACTTCAGTTTTTTTTTTTTGTAATATTATATGTATATATAATGGAGATTGATTTTTTTAGTACTTACCTAAATTATTATTAAATTTTTCCTTTTTTTTACATAAATAAAAATATAATATTTTTATAATATTTTCCATAATAAATTATTTTTATATTACATATTACCATAATTTAGTACATAATCAAAATTAAATATTGAACAAACATTTGCCAAGCCCACCATAACTTTTATACATACTGTAAGTAAAGATGTAAAACAAAATGAATATACAGGAACATCAATTACAAATCATGAATTCACCATTTGTAACTGTTCCAAATTATTGTATAACTGTTCTACATTTTTATAACAAATTTATAAAAGTTTTACAACAACTATTATTTTTTTTAATACCTTCATAATATAAAAAGCTTTCTTCTATGTTGAAATCTTAATTTGTTGTTCTTTTTTTTTATTGTTTAGGGATTTTCTTATAGTATATTTTCAACTAAAAGCTTTTCTTATTGAAATTGTTATATGGTATGTGTATATTATTTTTTCATTTTGTAGAACAGAAGGAAAAAAAAAGGTAAAGAAAGCTTTTTGTTAACTTTAACTACTATTTTATTGGGAAAAGAAAAGAAATATTTTCATTTTTCTAAAACTCTTACATAACATTTTAGTATTGTGAGAAAAAAAAAAGCAAAAAAAATAAGAAGAAAATAAGAAAATATAAGAAAAACAGGAATAAAATTGTGTAGTTCTTATTATTTTTTCCGTATATTTTACAAATTTCACTTATAAATTTTAAATAATTAAAAAGAAAAAAATTATAATAAATATAAAATTAGGTAAAATTTAACAATAAAAATTTTTAATAAAAGTTTTCTCACAAATCAAGTGGAAATTGAATAAATTTTTTAATAAATTGAATAAAATTTTCTTCTTCTTCTTCACAAAAAAGAAGTTAATAATTATCGATTTTTATTAAATTGTATAAATATAATATATACATATGTATATATTCATGTACATATAATATTGATATATGTGTATACGTTATAATATTAACATTAATTTTATAATAAAAGAAAAATAATTTATTCAAAATTGTATAACAAATTTATATATATACAAGTATGTTTGTTTATGTAAAACTAAAATTAAATTCTTATATTATAATTTCAGAGGTCAAATATAGTTTGAAATGGCAGATAAAAAAGTTGCTGAACAATATTATGCTCCACCGCCTAAATTGGGCAAATGGGAAGGATTTAAATTATTCTTATGGAATAGTGAAACTAGCCAATGTCTTGGTCGTACCGGATCAAGTTGGGGTAAATTAAAAATTTTTTAAAATATTCATTAAAAATAAAATTCATCAAAATTTTGTATATCCTTAAAAGTATATTTGTGCGAATATAACACATTTATATTTATTATATTTTATATTTTATAAACGTATATATTATAAGTATGTATATTATAATGTATATTTCTATTTTAAAAAGGTTAAAGGTTATGTGTATTTTAATTTTAAAATTTGTTTTATTAGGTTAAAATTTCAATTTTGAAATTTACAATCAAAAGCAAGCTGCTTAAAGCAAATTAAAATGTTTTAAAGTATAACGGTATTATAGGAGAATAAAAATTTGTTTATAACATTATATGCTCTCATATATATGAACATATATGGGTTCATATATGTATGTGTATATTGCAAACACAAAGTATCCAGAATATAACAATTTATTTTTTTTTTGATGTCATGTTCTAAATATTTCCTTTTTTTTGCGGAGAGTAATTTTATGAATTTGTACCATATTACATAATAAACTTTATGTCGTCTATTTTCTCTTTTCTTTTATTGCTACATTTTCAAAATAATAATTTTGAAATTTCATAGAATATTGAAATTTGATATTCTTTATCAAAGAAAAAGTAAAATGTAAAATCCCTGAATTTACAAAAAAATATTATTGTAGAATTTTTTATCATAAAAATATTGAAGAGTATTATATATAGTGTAGTACTCGTATAAATAAATTTTAAATAATAAAGTACAATTTTTCGTGATTCCAGCCATCATAATGATCAATTATTGTTTCGAAAATAAACCGGCCTTAAAATGTTCGATTCATTTTATTTCGCATTCATTTTATTAATTCTAATTTATTTTCGTTATAATAGTTTTTCCAAAAAAATTATATACATTTAAATTTTACAATTTTTATTATATTATTACATAATTAATTTCGTTATCTAAATGATTAATTATAATTGAATGCAATTGAAATAGAACAAATAATTTTAAGATTAAATTTATTTTCCTTAATGGAAAGCAGAACCGATAAACCCAAGAGTTATATCCAATTATTTTTCTACATACTAATATTCTAATTTAATGTTATATGTACTATGTTATATTTATGGTAAATTTTCAATAAATTTGATTATATTGATGAATATGTATATAATGTAAATAAAATCATTTTTTTATATTGCTGAAAACCCCTCGATATAATTTTACAGATATTCAATATATTTATAAACTATAAATTTCATGTATATTAAAATATACCAACAATTTTGAAAAATCAACCATTTTCTAACTGGGTGCATATACATATATATAAAATTTAATACAAACATAATATATATATATATTTTAAGATTAGAAAATTGTTAAGTCATTCAAATGTTAAAGAAACAAATATTAATTTCAAGTAAACTTGTAGAAAAGGCAAAGCTTAATGGTATATATGGATAAAAAATAATTTAAATTCCCAATTTTGAATGATGGTCATCCAAAAATTATTATATAACATTTTTTAATTTTAAATTTAAAATTTTTCACTTCAACTTGTTTTAATTTGTAAAATTCCAATACAAATTAAATTTTAATATAATTTTAATAATCATTGTACAGTTTACAAAACTGTGTATACCTACATTTCTTTGTCAGATAATATAGAATTAATCTGATACACAACTGTCAACATTTTGTACACTTTTAACTAAACTATATAAAATACATAATATATAAGATTGCAAATTTGTCATAAATATACAAGAATTTGATTTTTGGTCAATATTTTTTAATTTTGAATAAAATGTTATTTGAATTTCAAAGACCCAACAATAATTTCTGTTTTATACAAATTAAATTGATAAGAAATCTGTGATGGTATTAAAGGCAGCAAGAGTACCTAAAATTTACTACTACTCATATACAAATTATTCATAATAATTGTACTACAAAAATATTATTTTTCTTATTATTCTTATAATTTATGTTGCAATTGTTCTGTCATATTAATTTGTAATTTCTACACAAAAACTACAGATGTGTAACGAAATAAAGCATAAAATAAACAATATTTAAATTTATTATATAAAAAATCGATTAATCATCTATATATATACATACAATATGCATTTATATACGATTTACTAAGTGTATTTGTCTATTTGTAGTAGAATTTATAAATTTATAAACATTGGATTCTCCATTAAATACAATTGACCCCATAAATGTATTATTCATCTATTGTATACATACTTATACTTATTTATTCATATATGCATGTATGTCTGAATTTGTGTGTACGAGTCAAGTCACATACATAGTATTATGTTTTTTTCCCTTAAATTCTTTAGTATTCTAATTATTATCATTTTCTTGTTTTTTATCTTATATATAAGTAAAAGCAGTGGTGATCTTTCGAATTTAAAAAAAATGATGGTATATAGTTAAATTTAAAGAAAAATCTTATTATTTTTAGTCTATCAAATTTTTAATTTGAAGAGGTTTTCTTAAGAATATCATTTGACATTAGATTCAACGTCAAGAAATGTGTTCTTACTTGATTTGGTTTATAGAGTTACTTGATAAAGTTTACTTTAAAAGGCTGGAAAGCATACCAACTGTATAACTTACGCAATTGTTCATCATTATCACAGAATGTTTTTTTGCGTATATTTATAGAGTTTTCTTTAATAGGGTATAACCAAAGAATGTATATTTATAAATATACATTCTTTGGTATAACATTATAAAAGTATAACACTCTTCATATATACATATATAACACTTCGAATTACTAAAGCTTAATTATAAAAAAAAATAGTTGAAAGAGCAGTAGTTATACAATTATTTCTTCCGGTATATGGCTTCAAATTTTTATTAAAAATACACATTAATATTTAAGTTTATGGATTAGTTCAATCATATAACAGAATTTAAATATACAAGACAGCAGCTTTCAATCTTTTATTTCAACAAATTGATCTAAATTATTGCGGAATATTTTGATATTCCGGAACCTTTGGGTGTTATATCGTAAATCTATTCATCACTGGAAAAACTATATAACAGTTTATAATAAATGGAATTGTATATGATAAATTATTATATTTAAATGAAACGCTAACAAATTTTTGATTATTGTTTTGTTGCTTCAATAAACTTTGGATATTACGCTTACGGTATATACGTAAGTGGCTATCTATATACATGTATATAAAGAATCATTTTATATTTTATAACGTCATCATCAATTAATAATTAAAGCATATATTATTATGTATGTCTGTGCTTATACTATTTTGTTTATATACAAATCAATTGATTCCAATGAGAGAACAATTAACAAGAATGTATAGTAAAATTGGAAACTTCTTAAAAATTGTGAAGATTTAAAAAATTAAATAAAAATACATGTTGTATTGTTAATAATGTTTACATATTATTCGTAAATATGTATGTACATTATGTATGCCTATCATTTTAATTTTTTAAATAATTCTGAAATTATTAAATTATTAAATAGCGATAAAAATATGTGTGTCATGCTTAATTTTTTAAGTAATTTATAAAATGTACTAAATGAATTTGAATCATAAACAAAAAATTTTTAATTTGATCTGATTTTCATATTTAATTAATATGATTAATTAAAAATAGTATATATATGTATGTATATACGTTTGTGTTAATGAATTTATAATTTTGATGTTTCCAAGTGATTTTTAATTTGATATTTTATTTTCTCTCAATTAACGTCTTTTAGAAAAAAACAAAAAATAAAATTTCGTCAATATTTTTCATAACAATGCCAATATTTTTAAGAATTTTATATTGCGCTAGTTTAACGTTGTTCATGAGAAAAACAGGGTGTCACAACAAAAGTAATTCGTACAAGTAAATTCTAAAGTAATATAGTAAATAATTATTGTTATATTTCATTGTATAATAGTTAACTATTGTATTAAAAATTAAAATTGAAAGTCAGAATATCTTTTAAAAAAATCACACTTCTGATTATATATATATATATATATATATAATGAATCATATATATTATATATATGATGTATGTTTTTTAAATATAAAATTTTCGTTTGGGTTTGTTCCCTGATTTATTAATTTGATTAATTAGCATTAATATATTCGTATATGTAGTTAATTTACTATATTTTTTTACATGAATCAATTTAATTAGTTTTTGTTAATTAATTTGATATTAATTTGCAAATTTTATTTTTACAAATTATATTTTAAAATTAATTAATAAATTAAAAAAAGTCTAAATTGAAAAATAAACAATGAAATCAATTTTCTGACGTTATTTTTTGAATTAAATTTAAAATTATTGAATCACTAAAGTTAAACACTTTTCATGTTGTGTCTATTATATAAAGTTCAGATTCTAATTTACGATATAAAAAAGGAAGTATAGCGGGCACTATAAGTGCACTTTTCTTAACTTTCACTTAACAACCATACGGTTTTTGAATGCGACCCAACTTAGAATAATTTTTGAATTGCTTCAAAAACTATATCACTGTAGCATTATGGAACTCAAAGAATTTGAAGAAATTTTTATATTATTAAACAATTCTATTTTTATAAAATATTTTTTATTTTTAAGAAAAGACTCAGAAAGGTATACAACAACATATTCCATTGATTAGAGGATCGAAAATGGGTAAAACATTTACTCCGGATTGGGTGCAAAATCTCAAGGATTTCCGAGTTCCAGGGATTTTAATGAATTTTCACGAAATTTATACTTATCCAAGTTTTTTTGAATATAACTTTCATTCTGAAAAAGATGGGGACTTCAAACAAAAAGTTTCTGAAAGGCATAGTAAAGGGCTTAAAATGAACATGTTGCTTCATTCTGTATTTTATGTATCTTCGGAATACAAAGCATTCGAACTTTAGGCATTATCAAATTTTTCCCTTGTTTTATTTTTTCAGTTTTTTCTGAATATGTTGTTGTATACGTTTTAGAATCGCCCTGTTTATATACGACTATGTATACTTATTACACTTATGTATCGGGCAATTTAATAAATAATGTCTTAAAGAAGTGTGGACTTAATTGGAAATAAATACTTATATTGAAAATTATTATAAAAACTCAGTAGTTCAATATCTTTTTTTGGTTACCGGATATACATACACATATAAAAAAAAATCTTAATATAAAAAGATAATCTATATAAAATTTTATAATCATTATATTTAAAAATTGTTATCTAATAACTTAACGCCTTTAATTTTCCTTCTCATTATTTTTCGATGATAAAAAGAAAACTAGAACTTCCTTTTAAACATTAAGTTGTCTATTTATAAATGTTTTAAATACTGTATTTAATTTATTTATTATAAAATCGGCGGCTTCTAGTTATATGGTTTATATGCAAATAAGACATGATAAATAGAACAAGTGAAGACACATGTTTTTTTTTTCTTAATTTTTATAGGGTGCTTTCCATTTTTAAGTCATATGAGAGATGTTTTACTAAAAGAATTAATACAGCATTTTCGTGCTTGCCAACATTATAAAGCAACATATAAATTGTAGTAAAAACTATTATATACACATTTTTGAATTAAAAAAAACCAAAAAATATTGCTGCCTAAACTTGATAAATAGCAACCAAATTGCAAAATTCAGGAAAATCAGTTCACAAAATAGAATTTTGATAAGGGTCGAATTCGAGGAAATTTAAAAAATTAGAAATCATGAAGCCAATTTTAAAATTAAAAAATTATCATAGTTTAGGCCATTTGTGCGAAAGTTATTATACTCTGTTTACGATACAGTTATTCAGAGTTGATCAAAATTTGAGGAAACACATCAATATGTTTATTCATTTGAAGTACAACTAATGAATTTATTAAATATTTTGCATATTAACAAGGCGCAAAATAAAAATTTTGTACATATATATTTGTAATCGAATAATTGAGACTACTTTTTTCCCGTATGAAAAATTTAAATTCCTTCAAAAGACACTGTACCCGATAAGTAAAATGTATTGTATAAATATTACATGCGGCGAATTCAAAAAAACAAAAAATAAATAAAACAAAAAAAGGAAAAACATTCATACTCAATGTACATACATACATATTTGTATAAAAATATACATATAAGAATATTTTACTTGCTCTATATTAAATGATGATAAAAAAAAAACGAAAATTATATTTTAAAATTACAACAAAAAAATGTTTCACTTCGATTTATTTCTCCATATAATAATTTCCAGCTTTTCAGTTAAATAAAGTACGGCACGCCTAGTGGACACACGCGTTTTCATTTTACGAAATAGAAAACTTTCTAACAAAGAAAAAACAGAAGAAAATAAAAAAAATCTTTTGTTTTTTGTTCCTGTTCTTTTGTTTTTCTTTTTAGTTTTTATTGAATTTTAAGGCGCTCCCGTTTATTTCTTCCTTTTTTTCCATCGGATCGTCGTACTTGATTTAACTGAACTCACTGTACTTAATGAAATATTAATAAAATTCACAAAACCAAAATAAATTTCAATTCTAAAAAAAATTAAATACAAAGTGTTATACATGTTTCTATAATAGATTTAATTACTAATAATTAAAAAATTAATAAAAAAAACGCACTTCTATCTCTATAAAGATCTTAAAACTCTCCAAACTGAAAGTCAGAATTACTATAATACACGTATAAAATAATATTAAAAACATAAAGTGTTAGAAAATATGTTTTCGTTTTTTGTTATACGTCTAATAAAATTTAATAATCATATAAATTAATTTTATAAAATTGGTTAGAAATGATAATAATTTCAATTATCGCTCTATTATTCCTTAAATAATGCTAGTGCAAAAAAAGAGTATAAAAATAATAATCAAAGAGAACAATATAATTATCTATAATTGTTATACAAAATTTTTATTGCACAGAATACTATTTTAAATTATTATAAAAAAATATAAAAGTACAATTTTATAAAAATATTATTGAATTGAACACCTATTCTGATTATTATAATTTTATATTTTTAATTATTGTAATTAAAGAATGAGCAATCAAAAGTAAAATATAAAAGTGGTGAAATTTAAATATTGTCAAATATTTTTTAATGAAGTTTTTTTTTTGTTTCTATCAAAAACAATCTAAAATAATATACATATATATACACGAACATATAATTTATTTGGAGCGAAAAATTATAATACACAAATCATAGGTCAAACTTGCATTATACTGTTTAATTGCCCATATTTTTAATTTATTATACAAAATTATTGTATCTATGTTGAATTTTAAATATATTTAGTATATAAATCTAGGTACATAATATATATAATATATAACAAATAAATAATATTTAAAATAGTATTCACGTCATTCCTATATATAAAAAAAATTAAGAGATTATGGAAACTAAAAATTTACGTAAGTCATTTTATATTAAACTTAGACCAATTACACGTTGCAAATTACATACATCAAACATTATTATATAATGTTTAGAATATTATATCAAAATGTATATCAGTTTTAAAATTAAAATTTTTATTTATATAACATATAAATATTTTGTTATGTATGTAAAATTATGAATCTATACTTTTTGGAACTAAACACTATGACTCAATGTATAGACTATTAAAATATTGTAAAATATTTTTGTTTATTTTATATCATGTAAATATTTATATAATATAAAAGATATATTCTTAAAATAAAATTTTATTAATTTTCAAATATGTTGCAAAAAAAAAATATACTTTCACCTTTATTGGAGTGATCGGATAAAAATTATTTACAAAATAAATTCAAAATGCAGGATGTTTAGTAAAATTTTAACAAAATTTATATGTTTATTGACTTTCGTTCTAACGAAAATAAATATTTCAATTAAAAATAAAGATAAGAAGTTATACAAGAATTAAGAGTTTGAAAATGACGCCACTAAAAAAGGGCACTAACTAGTTTTTGCATAAAACAATATTCAGTCAATCTAAAATATCTACTTATGTGCCAATCTTTTTTTCAATATTCAGAACTTTAAATAAAATTCCTGTTTTGTTTTTCCATATTCCATATATATTTGGGCAGATATTCGTTATATGTATCGTCAGCATCGAGATCTGTAAAATCACGTTAATTGTTTTAATTCTTTTAAGATTCACAAAAGTAAAGCAAATCATCAGTCGCTTTCTTTTATCTGTATAGCACGTATTTACTTATGTTTATTATGTTCATTTATTTCTATAGGCTTTAAAAGAATTTAAAGAAGTTTTAAAAAAAAAATTATACCACATCATTTTAAATTTAAGAATTATTTTAAAATCAAATGAGTTTTTTTAAATATTTTTTAATAATTTTACGGTACTCTCGAAATGCCAACTTTTTTTATAAATATCAAATAATTGAGCTGTTATCACAAATTATTGTTATACTCACTACTCTGAAGTTAATAAACTAGGCAATAATTTATTTATATAATTCTAAAAATGTAATTAAAGTGACGTACTCTTATTACATATATATTTTCATTACATACATACATATAAATACATACGAGTATACTATTATTTTAATAATTATATTTTTTAAATATTGAAAGTATGAAATTTTAGAACGAGCAAAAAAAATTTTTATAAGGGCAGTAAACTTAACAACCTTGATATGCTTGTATGTATGTACGTATGTGTACATTATATTAGTTTAAATACAATAGTTACTAACTATTTCGGGTTAGTTACTCATGTTAAGTTGATTGACTAATTTCTTAGTTATTTAAAAAATTTAGTTACAATTATTTGGTCTTTTTATTTAACACTATCAATTTATAAACAATAAATTAAAAATGATTAAATATGTTCTATGTTTTTTTCTTATTTCGATAATTTATTGTTTTTAACAATGTAAATTCACGTGAAATCGATTTCTGATATTTTATTTATATAAACATACATACATATGTATGTATGTACATACTTAAATTTTTTCATTTTCAAACACAAAATTATTATTAGTACAAACTTAATAAGTTTTTATTATAAATAAGGAGATATTTTTCAAAAATCTTTAAATTTGTTACATCGTCCGTGAATCGCTGAGTTTATCAAATATGTACTGATAACTTTGGTAAAATCAAGCGCATAATAAACGTATGATCTGCTAATAAAAGGTTAAAAATTTAGGTGTAACAATTTAAATGTCAATTAATTTTTTTCATTATTGGTTACCTTGTTGATTTTTAATAATCATACAGAAAACTAACATGCAGTCAAAACTTTTTTGATAATTCCATTCAAGAATCTAAAAATCAGGTGGCTCGCGTGTTATATATTACCAATTGAATTTAATTCATACTTACCTACTTTATACCTAATTGACAGACAAATTTGGCAGAATTTAAAAATTTTTATTTTAAAATCCTCGAAATTCGACAAAATTTGATATTTTTGTTTAAATTTTTTATTACGGCATGAAATTTAAAATACATATATAATGAAAAGGTTTCTTTTTAATTATATTTCTTATTTTGACACGAATCAGTTCTTTTAAGTCTTACATTTAGTTCTCAGATTAAAATACATATTTTTCGAGCGCTACGGTAGATTAGCGAAAGATAGCCATCTATGAACTCATAGATTTTTAAATCTTAATTTAAAAATTTGACAACAGTTTGTTTACAATTTTTTAAAAGCATTTTAAATAGCTACATATGCATATTATTTAAATCTTATTACGTATTATAAAAATCTTTAATTGGATTTTCTTTTAATTTTTTTTTTCAGCAAAAATTTTATTTTTCTACATTTTGTTTTATGCTGCGCTAGCCGGCTTTTTTGCTGCCATGTTAGCTGTATTTTATCAAACATTGGAGAATGATAAGCCAAAATGGCAACTTGATAATGGTTTAATTGGGTCGAATCCAGGTTAAACAGAAGTTTTTTCTCAATATTTTTATACTTATTTATTAATTATGTTTAATAAAACTTTATCTTTATTAATGAGAATTTTATTCTTAGGTCTTGGATTTAGACCAATGCCACCAGAAGAAAATATAGAAAGTACGCTTATCTGGTATGATTCTAAAAAATTAGATCAACACTGGCTTGATTCAATAAACGAGTTTGTTGACAGTATGAAAAATTTTATGTATGTACATATATATCGATTAATTAATAATATGATTTGTAGGTATAGACAGATTACCAGTACAAAATCGTGTTAACTGTTCATTTGATAATCCTGCACCGGAAGGTAAAATATGCAGATTAGAATTAACTGAATTTAAAGCATGTAACAAAGAAGAAGAATATGGATATAGACGTGGAAGACCATGTATCTTTTTGAAATTGAATAAGGTATTGAAAAAAATCTAGAATCTTTTTTATTATTAATTATGATCAAAATAATAAATTTTATTTTTAAGATATACAATTGGATACCAGATACATATAAGACAGCAGAGGATTTACCAAAGGATATGCCGAAAGATTTATCAAGTCATATTGCAGATCAAGTAGAAATGAACAAGCCTGTAAGTTTTTTTTATGATTATAAACCATTTGAATAATTAAATAAAAATTATTATTGTTTAACAATATGTTTTCTTAATTTTTTATTATTTTTTAGACTAATATTGTCTGGGTATCATGTGAAGGTGAAAATCCAGCTGATCAGGAGAATTTAAAATCTGTAATGTATCATCCAAGACGTGGTTTCCCTGGTTATTTCTTTCCATTCAAAAATATTGAAGGTTATATGCCACCAGTAGTTGCTGTTGAACTTGATGTTGCAAGTGAGTTTTTTTATTTTTGAAATACATAAATATAATTTCCAAAATACGAGTATAAATTGTTTATATAAACCATCTATTTCATTTATACAGTTTTAATTTTAACACATAATTTATATATAAAAATCAAATTGTAATTTACTAAATTTGTGTTTCGTAAAGTGTCAATAATTTTATAATACTCGTATATTATTAATAAATAAAAGTATTTGTTATTAAAAGAAATTAAATTAAATGATCTACATAAATTTTCTCATTTTATTTGTTTATAAAAATTTTGCATAATTTTAGGCGAAGTGAAATTTTTATTGTAGTTAATTTTTATAAATTTTTCAAGAAAATTGTATTATAAATTTTGAACAACTTTATAAGTAATTAAATTTTATTAATTTTATTATTTCAACAATAAAACTATATTATTAACAAAATATTTTTCTATTTATATATATTTTTAGCCGGCGTTTTAATAAATATTGAATGCAAGGCTTGGGCTCGTAATATTCATCATGATCGTTCAGAACGAAAAGGATCAGTACATTTTGAATTAATGGTTGATTAAAGTAAATAAAATAAGTATTAATGAAAAATAATAAAAAAAAATAAATATTAAAAATTGTATAATTGAATTTAAATGAAAGAAAAAAAAAACAAAAATTAAATTAAATAAATTTATTAAAAAAAAAAGAAAAAAAACTTAAAAAAGAAAACCCAATTGAGGAATCCAATAAAAAACAAATTATAATTCACGCCCTATCCGTTATAAAATTAAAGAACTTAAACATGATAAAAAAGAAAAAATAGAAAAGTAGTTCATTGGAAAACAATTTTTATTATGCTTATTTCTTTATTATTTTATTTAAATTAAAACATAAAAGCAACCAAAACAAAAAAAAAACATTTTAAAGAACAAAAATAAAATCAAAAGCTAAGTTAGTTAAAATTATATTATATAATGTTCAAATTTCAATTTAAATTAATAATTATCATAATTATGTAAACATATATATATATATACAGAAGAAAAAATATAGCTGATTATTCACTAAAGTTTTTATTCACTATAAAACTCAAATATAAAATTAATGTGAACGATAAAAGGAAAATGATTTATGATTGTTATCAAATATATTATCTGCTATATTGCAAATCAAATAAATACATATATGCATATTTATAATTATATAATAAAATAAATTATAAATATGAGATTTTTTCAATAAAAACCATTTTCGCATATATATATTTAATCGATTTTCTTATAATACACGAGCTATTTTAATAAAATATTCAAAGGAAAATCGCATGGAAAATTTTTGGGGAATTGTAAGAACGATTAAATTAAAAAATATTGCAAAAAAAAAAAACAAACAAAATAGATAATGCTGCCAATTTTTTTACTTTAGTGAATACTTAGCTTAAATTTATTATCGCTATTTTTTATTTTTACAATTTTCTGTTTTAATTTTTTATTTATAGCAAATGATTAATATATAATATTAAAGATATATATTTATATATATATATACATACATTTGTACATAATATATATATTTATATTTATAATATAATATTTAAATAATAAAAAGGGATCTATATAAAATGATAACAATATGATAAAAAAATCAAATATATGCGAATAGTTTTCTTTAAATTATTAAAGAGTGTATATTTGATTATACTATATATAAATTTAAATTTGATTTTTATATATCTTTTACTAACATATATTTTGTATTTTAATATTTTACTATTTAAAATGTACTTAATTTTAAATAATATTTTTTTTATTATATTATTGTGCCTTGGTTGGTATATATATATATATAAATATGTTAAAATATACAAATACATTTATGTATTTTATATATTAATACGAAAAAAAAATGACCTGCCCTATTCAAGTGTCATAATATATAAAATAATTTAAAAATGAAATATTTATTAAATTACTATTTTAAAAACATATATACCTACTATAACACAACAATTAAATATTGAAAAAAAAAAAAATTATAAATATATCTTATGTAATATTAAAATTTACTTGCTTTAAAAGTTTTGTTTTTCTTGTTTTAAATAACAATTTACATATTATGTATTATAATAGCAATAATGATATTTACATAAAATATAATGCTTTGACACCGTAAATAACCAAAATCGAACTCAAACACAAGAATAATATATATTCTTTTTTTTTCTAAATTTTATTTTAATTAAAAATTGGTTATTTCGGAGGCCTAGATTAGATCCACACACATTTTAGTATATTAAAACAATTATAAATATAAAAAGTTCACATAATATATTAATAAAATTTGCAATATTAAAAATGTTATTAAACTAAAATTTTAAATTATCTAATTTATATAAATAAAAATAATAAATAATATTATTTTTGATCCCTTTTTTTCTCATTTTTTCTTATCATTTCGTTTTTTGTTCTCTTTTTCTGACAAACCAAAGAAAATAATTCTTTGCAGCATAGTTTTAGGCAGAGATCCATATTTTATGTGTTAAGTTTTAAATAAAAAAAAAAAAATAAACAAATTTAAATTTAAATGAATAAAAAATAAAAAAAAATTATTAAAATTCGAATATAATTGAAAAATTCAATAAAAATAATGAAAGGAAAAAAAAACAAGTTGTTTTAAGAGTTACATTAAAAAAAAAACAAGAAAATTAATTAATAAAAGAAATCAAACTTTAATTAACTAAAAATACAAGAAAACCAAAAAAAAAACAAACTATATAAATTCAAATTTAAATAAATAAAAAAAAAATCACTAATAGGCAATTGTTATTAGTTTAAGTGCTTTATTTTTACGTCTTCAATTCTATTATTAAAAAAAATTAAAAGCAAAAAAAAAAATGTAATAATATAATTAATTATTTAATAGGTAAATTTAAATAAAATTTTGAAAAGAAAAATCAAACAACAACAACAAAAATAAAAAAAATTATATAATTAACATCAAGAAGAAAATAAAATAAAACAAAAATTAAAAAAAATATTCATAAAACATCTTCAATGAATATATGAAAGAAAAAAATATTTTAAGACCCATATTTAAACATAAAACATTCAAACAAACAAGAAAATGAAAAAAAAAAATAAAATTAAACTTAATTTTAAGAGCTATAATTAATATAAAAAAAAATATTAAAAGTTATTTATACATATATTGTGTATAAAATTTATATTAATATAATTATAATGAAAAATATAAATTAAATAAAATAAATAAAAAATAAAGAAAACCGTTCAACTTATTATATATAAATGCATTTCTATATCTATATAAATAATTATATACAATATTATTATATTTATTATAAATAATATAAATATTATATACATATATACATATATATATATAAATATACCCCTGAAATTTTAAATTAAACTAAATAATAAATAAATGTATAGTTTTGTTCAATTCTCTATTCTTAGTATGTTGCAATAATTTATTTCATTTATTACAAAAAAAAAAAAAAAACATAAAAAAATATTTAAAAAAAAATATATATCTAGAAAGTAAATTAAAAAAAAAAAAAACTAAAAACAACAAAAAAAAAAACAAAAATATTACGAGCATAATGAAAAATACTTGAACGCCTAAAAGTATACAACAAAAAAAAATTGTATGAAAATTTAACAACATCAAATTTTAATATTGAAAAAAAAATATATATATATAAAAAGTATATAAATAAAAAAATAATTATTAGATAAAATAATAAAATTAAAAATTTTAGAAAAATAAAGTAAAACCCAAAAAAAAAAATTTAAATTAATAAGAAAAAACCTTCACAAAATAGTCAAAATAAAATAATGAAAAAAAAAACCAAATAAAAAATATAAAAAAAAAAATTCTTGCAGTTGATATAAAAGGAAAAACAAAAAAAAAACTTAATTTTAGATGTAAAAAAAAAACAAACAAAAAAAAACTCTTTTTGAAAAACAAACAAACAAAAATAGCTGATTATGTAAAATGAATTATTTAAATAAATAAAAAAGGAAAATCTCAAAAAAACGACATCTAAATCAAATGTAGTTTTTATTATTTATAGATGAATGTGGCCATTACCATCAAATTGAAATGTTTACATAATTTTCTTATCTCACTTATCTTCGTAGATTACTGAAGAGAAATAAGGGGAAAAGCGTTACTCTCCTTCGAATACCGCAACCAGCTCTCACTTACCTTAAGCATTAAAATATGTATTTTTTAGTAAATCTTCATACAAAAGTTTTATACCTTTTAATTGAGTCTAATTGTTTTTACTAAATTCCTAAATATATTACACTTTATCACAAAAAAAAATAACCTTAATTTTCAATCCGTAATTTTAGCGGGACTTAGGGTTTTTTTTTATTACTTTTAAGTTTAAGAGAAATATCTAATTATTTTATCTTATTTATATCTTATTTTTACTTGTACAAACTTAAAGCTCTAAACTAATTTGATATTTGATTCTAAATGAATATTGTTTTCTTAAACAATCGTTTGGTGGACTATATTTCATTCATTAAAACCATAAGGGTTTTGTTTAAATATTTCCCGATATTCTTATAATTTCCAATATAATGTCAAATGAATATACAAAGTTAGTTTGAGGTCAACCATGTTATGAAAATGTTCACTTTTGTGATATTTAGTTAGTTTTTTTATAGAGTAGAGAAATAAGTAGAGTGAGACTGTAACTGGAGTAATCAAACATAGAAAATGGACTTGTTACAAGCAAGTTAGTCAATTTTCGTTGTATTGCGCAAAATCTATCAATAGGTTCATTATCAAAACTTTGTCTTAAACGAGTTGTTTAATAAATGTGAATATGAATTTAATAAAGAAAAAAAATTCGATGAAATTCATCCATACGTAAATTTGAAAAACTATTAATAGATAGCTTCGAAAATTTGATCTTGACCTGTTCGAATTCTTTTTTTTTTTTAAATTAACAAGAAAAAATTTTATATATTTTTTTTTTATAAAAAAATTTTAATTATATTTAAAAAAGAACTTACATCACATATTAAAAATCTAGTTATAAATAAATAATTATTATAGAAGCAAAAAGAAAAGAAAAATTAATATTCAATTGTTACACATTTTGTTTTTAAATATTCATTTAAAGCTTCTTCGCCCAAATCTTTACCAAAACCACTCTGTTTAAAACCACCAAACGGTGCAGCAACATCTGTTTTATTGTAAACATTAATAAAAACTGTTCCAGCTTCAACAGTATCAGCAAATTTTAATGCTTTACTTATGTTATTTGTAAATACACCGCTAGCCAATCCATATTCAGTATTATTAAAACGTTTTGCCAAATCTACATCACTTGAGTTAAATTTCGAAATGATCATAATAGGACCGAAAGATTCCTCTTTGGCAACAAACATATGATCCTCAACATCTGTAAATATTGTTGGTTGAAAATAAAATCCTTTTGTGTTTGGTACTGGTCCACCACCATAAACTAATTTTGCTCCTTCCTTAATACCAATTTCACAATATTCAATTAATTTCTCGAAATGTGAACGATGATTTTGTGGTCCATGATTTGTAGCACGATTAAATGGATCTCCAATAACCATTGACTTAACATATTTAATCATACGATGAACAAATTCATCATGAATTCTATCCTCAACAAAAATACGACCAGCTGCTATACAATTTTCACCTTTATTGAAGAAAACTGATGATGCCCCCTAAAAATAATTAAATGTTGTTTGTTTATAATTTTGTTTAATCTAAAATATGTTGAAACTTACATGCTTAATAGCTTTATCTAAATCACAATCTGCATATATTACCAAAGGGCTTTTACCACCTAATTCTAAAGAACATTTTTTTATATTCGATGTTGCACATGATGTCATAATCTGTTGACCAACTGACGTAGACCCTGTAAAACCTAATTTTCTCACTAACGGATGATCTGCAATAGCTTGACCGGCTACACTACCTATGGTTTTACAGATACACATACATATTAAATTTTTCATAGAACTTTAGCTAATTAAAAATTATTTAATACCTTTTCCTGTGAGTATGTTAATGACACCTGGTGGGAAACCAGCCTTCACTGATAATTCAGCAAATTTGAGTGCTGTAAGTGGACAAACTTGAGCCGGTTTTATAACACAAACATTGCCTGCAGCAATACAAGCAGCCATTTTCCACGACAGCATCATCAAAGGATAATTCCAAGGTGTTATAAGACCAACAACCCTTAAATAATAATTTTAAAAATAAAAATACTTTTCCAAAAAGCGCTATTATATTATCATTTACCCGATAGGTTCTTTTTTAGTGTATGTTAAAACGTTATTTGGTCTAGCTGGGTTAACAGGAATTGTAGAACCATGAATTTTATCAGTCCATCCAGCAAAATATTTCCAAACGTCAATTGACATACCTACATGTGTTTTTAAAGCTAATGTATAAACAGCACCGGAATCGGCAGCTTCAATTGTAGCTAACTCTTCTTTGTGCTCTTCCATCAAATTTGCCAATTTCATCATTAACTGGCCTCGTTGTCTGGCTGAAACCTGTTTCCAAGGGCCTTCAAATGCCGTATGAGCAGCTTTGATAGCTTTATCAACGTCTTTCTTTGAGGCGCAAGCAACTTTACATAAAATTTGTTCAGTTGCTGGATTAACAATATCTAAGGTAGCTCGATTCTCGGCATCAACAAAACGGCCATTAATAAAAAGTTGTGTTGGTACAGGTATTTCTCGTTTATTCTCCTTAAGAGTAAATCCTTCGAAATATGTTTTTGCAGCGTTTTTGCTATTTCCAGCTCTTAACATTTTTACAATTTCTGTGAAAAAATCTTCAAATGTTGGCGCCATAAAGAGATGTTCATTTTCAAGTGTTGAAATATCTAAAACTTCTTTACATTCTTCAATTAAGTGAACAACATCCATTGATCCGGCCCCGCTTGCAAAGAAATCAGTTTCATTCTCAATTGGTAATTTTAAAATTGAATTCCAAATTTCTCTTAAATTCTCCTTTTTATGTAGTTCATCTTCAGTCAAAACTAATTCTATTTGTTTTTCTTGTGTTTTAAACCAATTTTTAGCTTCTATCATTTTAGTTCCTTTCTTGATGCGTTTTATATTGACATATGCATCATCTGTTCCTTTTAACAACAGACCATTTTCATGTATAATTCCCGGTTCCTTTAAACCCTTTAACATTAATGGAGATCCGGTTATCATTTCACCAGAATATAAACTAGCTCCAAAAAGACGAATTTTTTCATCAGTTCCATCAACAAAAGCTATAGCACCTGGTACTGAATCTAAACCTCTTACAAAATTCCAGATTCTTCTGGCAGATTGATTAAGATTAATAATTTGATTTTCTTCTTTAAACATTGGTGGATCATATGTTGCAATTTCATGAAATTGTGGAATTTTTGGTGCTTTCCCATTAACAATCATATCAACAGCTAAAATAATAAAAATTTTTAATTTTAGATACTCGTATTAGTTTTCTTTTAATTGAATCAAAATAATTTTTCTTACCATCAACCATCGATCTAACACCTTGCGGATATAAAAATCTTTTATATATTGTATCTAATGTATCAGTTGGCTCTAATATACAATTTTTTTGTAATAGAATTGGTCCATGATCGAGACCATCGTCAGCCCAAAATATTGTAAAACCAGCATATTCATTATCTTCAATAATTGTCCATGAAATTGAACTTGCTCCACGATGTTTTGGTAAAATTGATGGATGATAAGCAATACTTCCTAATTCTGGTCCATCAATAACTTCCATTGGTAAAAATTGAGAACAATATGGTAAAATATTTAAAGTTGCACCAACAGATTGATATTCTTTTAAAACTTCTGGAATTGTTACACCTTTTCTCCTCCAGACTGCAAATTTAAATACCGGTATATTATGTAATTTGGCAATTGTAGCCAAAGTATCTTCTCGTCCATTTTTATCTGGTATTGTAAAAACACCAACAATTATATATTTTTTTTCTAAAAGTAATTCTAAAACATCAGCAGCAAAAACACTTTGTCCAATAATTGCAATTTTAGTCTAAAAGCAAATTATAAAACTATTAATTATTATAATTATGTATTAGTATAAGTATGTACATATGTGTGTGTATATTATTTATAATTTTATGATATTATTAAAAAAATTCTTGACAACAATAATGACAATCACAATTAAATTTTTTTTTTAAGGGAATTTTTAAATTGATGCTGATACTCGTAACACTTTAAGTTGTTTTATTTTATTTTATTTTTGATTTTTTACTAAACCGGTTTTTTCTAGTTAAAAATTTTTAGTAAATCTAGTTTAATGATTATTGAACTGTAAAAGGTTATCTTTTATATTTAAATATTAAATAATTGTTATATAAAAAATGTCAATTTAAAAATAAATATGTGTATACAGAATTTATATAATATGTAGGTCAATATTTAATTATCAAATTAATCTTTTGTATAAATAATTCAATTAAAAAAGGATACAATTATTTTCGTGTTCTTCTTTAAAGCAGATTTGTAAAGAAATTGTTTAGTTTTAATTTAGTGTAACAAAAAAAATATTTTAATATTTTCACTATTTTGTTACCTTAGAGAATTACTTATATTGAACCATCCATCATAAAGGGTTCAAATATACTCGTAATTAGCATAATAATGGTATTCCCGTTTAAGACGACAAATTATTATGTATGTATTTAAAGTGTTAAATCGAAATTTTTATTTAAATAGACGCTTATTATAATTAATTAAAGGAATTTCGTTTTGAACTAAATAAATAATATTTCTAATCTATATATGTATATATAAATTTAAAAATAATAAATATTTAATAAGGTATATATAATATAAGAATATAATATTAATAAACTGGATTAAAACCGGTTTCGTTAAAAATATATTAAACAATTTCAAATTTTTGATAAGAATATTGTTTTATAATCAATTTAAATTATATTTTTTTTTATATTTATGTACATAAATGCATACATATTTTGTCTTTATTCCTTTTTTTTAATTTTACTTTAACTGATAACCTATTTGAATTATTCACATACATATTGAAAATCAGTTTCAGTTAACTAGAAATTTCTAGTTTTTTTTTGTTAAAAAAAAAATTCCATATGCCCTATAATTATTATTGTAACAGATTTTGCAATAAACCTTATAAAAATATGTATATAAATTTTAAATTAAAAAAAAATAGAAAAAAATCATCTTCAATGATAATAAATTTCAATGAACTGGATTTTTATTCTTTATATACTTTTATATACTTTATTTAAATAATTGTTTAAAACCATTTTATTTATTATTAATCATCATAATTAAATCTTTTTTTTTAAATTTGTGTTGCTATTTAAAAAATTTATTATATATTAAATATATATATAATTACTTAATGAATTTTATATATTTAATAAAAAATAATTATAAAACCCGAGTTTTTCATATTCAAATTTTTGGATGGAAAATAAATTGATCGACATACATATCAATTATCAGGGATCCTTTTGAGATTCTAAAATCAATCATGCAAAATATATGTATAGTAAAATATCAATGTGTAAGAAATAATATCGAAATTCACTGAACTGCTAGATACAAGCGTGATATTAAAATCAGTTTATGTTCAATTACTACTAGTAATTTGATTATATTCAAAGTAATTGAATATAAACATATTCAATTATTTTTTTTTTTAATTAAATAAACTCATAATGAATTTTGAGAATATATTTTAAAAATATTATTAAAATACAATTTAAATATATTAAGGACTACGCAAATAAATTCATTGCAATCATTTTTAAAAAAAATTTCTTTTTACTAATGATTTAATTTCTATATCGTACATATATGTAAAATAAAGGGTACCCTAATTTATCATGTATATCAAAGGTGCTATATCTGTTCTAAATAAAATTTAGCATTTTGTATATATATTTTTTTTATTTTTTCAAATATTTGCATTTTAAGGTCATCTTTAATTAATATGTTTTATTATATTTGCTCTAATAATTAATATATAGCAAACTATTAGAGCATATTTTATAGCTTTGCATCAATTTTGTATTGCAAATATTTTATAATTTTTAAAATTCCCGGCAAAAAGATAGTTAATCAATAACAATATTAAAAATATAAGAATTAAATTATTATTATTATTTTTTTTTTTTAATAATTTATTAGAATGAAAATCTAAAAAAAAAATTTCTTAATTTGTCATTATTATAATAAAATAATTAGTAAATTAGTATTAATTATTATAAAAATGGTTAATTAAGAAAAATAAAAAAAGGGACTTTTTATTTTGCTCATATAACAGTTTATTAATACGTATACATTTTTTAATTATTTACATATTAATAAAATATTTTTTTTATATTACGATGAAAATTTTAATATTCAAGTGCCCTTCGACTTCTTCTAAGAGAAATTACCATTAATTAATAAAAAAAAAAAAACAAAATAATGCAACTGTACATTCTTATTTGTACAAGTATAACAAAAAAAAAAACTATGAGAGTTTCTAAATTCTAGAATAATTAAAAATTTATTATTTTAAAATATTGAAGCTGTTTTTCGCATATAATCAATTTGGAAAAACAAGAAATTTTAAAAAATACACAAAAATAGTATCATCTTTGTTTATTAATAAAGAATCGCGTGATTATATTTTCTATTTTGAAATTATTTTTAATATATTTTAGATTTTTTTTTTATTAATTGATAATTTTAATAGCTTTGTGTTTCCATGCTTCCAAAAAATTTAATTTTCTTTTTCATTTAATCTTTAATTACCTTAATAAAATTTGAATTAATATTTTTTTTTGTAATTAGTAAATAGTGTTATCATTGTTGATTCAATGAAAATTTACTATATGTACATATACACACCACATACTTATATTTTACATATGTATATATTTATTTTTCTTGTATAACATTTCAAAATTATGTTATAATATTAAAAATGTAAATTATGTATGTATTTCAAAAAATTCTTAATTATTTTTTATATTTATTTCATTTGACTTTCAATTATGTGTTATAATTATGTGTTATTCAAAAACATAAAAATGTCATTGAAATTATGTACATGCACATGTTTGTGTATATATATAAAACAATAAGACAGTAAATTAACGACTAAATACTGAAATCATTATAATATGACTTTCATACATTTTAATTAATTAATATAAATTGTATATTGAATTAAATTAGTTTAAAAAGTTTGTGTTAAAATTTATATAAATGCCAATTTATCAATTTTACAGGAAGCCATTATCAAGAATTAAGTGCTTATGAAAATTCATCTTTTCTCGATAATGTAGTTTTAGTATAAGATAAAAGTAATATTGTTAGTAAAAATTACTTACATAAATGTAATACATGTATATAAATCAACAATAAATTTGAAATATTGTTAAAATTATGCACAATAATGCTTTTACCAATAACATTATTTCAAAAAAAAACTAATTTATTTAATTTTAATAAGAACAATATTACAAGAATTCAAATTCTTATTACGATTAGATTATTCTTATTACGAGAATTCTTTTAAAACGAAATTTTAACGCCGCTTGGTATGGCATCTTTGTTTGCACAATAATTTCGAAATGTAAACAAAATTATTAAAAGTTGCATTTTTTTTTTTGTAGAATCAATACGATATCAAACCATAATATCTATTAGGTATAAATATAATTTTACTTTTCTAAGTATGTTATCGCCCTTTTTTTTTTAACAAAAAATTTTATTTTATATCATGTACTCGTACATACATATTTAATTTGATAGGAATTTTTATTTGCAAAGCAAATATTAAAAAAAATATGTTACTCATCCACAAAATATAAATTCAATTATGTATAGGCTATGAGAATATCAATAAAACCAGTCCCAAATTACATATTATAAAAATCAACATTTTTTATGTATTAAATGAATTGGACTATTGACTTATGTATATGCGATAATATGCTTATCATTTAACGTGTCTATGCATACATAGTTACATACTCAGATATTATGGTAACAATAAAAATGTTGACATTGAATTAATGTTAAACATTGAAAATAAAAAATGAACTTATTAAATAATTTCACTTATTTTATTTTAAAAATTATATTTAGTCCAAAACGTAGCATGTGAAAAAAAAATAAATAATGTTTTCCTATTTATAATATTATAAGTGCCACTTTTTTTTTAAAAATTTTCTAATTAGACGTCGAAACAAGATTGAAAGCTCATGATTTTTTCGTTTCAATTATAAATAAAATACTCGTTTTGAAGGGTTTAACTATTACAATAATAATAATTTGCTAACAATTAATTTTTGAGTATTAAATATTTCAAGCAGAACAATTTTAAAATTTCAGACAATAGATAAAATTATTTCACAATAAAAAAATAGGAAGCTATAGCTTGTCAATGAAATATCTTATTAGCATAAATCACTTTCACTTATTCAAGAAATTTATTAAAAAAAATAATATGATGGATTTAAATAATAATGAAAATAAAAAAATAAAAAATTATAATAATTAAATTTGCATAAACTTACCTCCATTTAAAAAAGTATATTATTAATTAAAATAAAAAATTAATTTTATTTAAAGTATTTTATATAATAATAATAATAGTAAAATTATGTAAATTAAAAATATTAATATTTTAAATATTAAAATATTCACAGTTCACTGTTAGCCCTCCAAATAAAGACTAAAATTCTATCAAGTTCACACCTTGCATATAAAAGTTTTTTTTTTCTTTTTTAACTTTTTTTATGTTTTCATCTCATCTCTTATTAAAATGAAAATCAAATAAGAAAAAGTAATATTGGAATAAATTTGGTGGGATCATATTCTGTTAATAATATGAAACAAAAAAATTATACTCGTAACAGAAAACAAAAAAAAAACTAATTTCTTTCTCTATCTGCAATATTATTGGAAGTTTTGTTTTTCATTGATAAGAGTTTTAAATAATTTATACACTCACTTTACTAATTTTTTTAATTTAAATAAAGCTTAATTAATTGTTTGTATTTAATTTTTCATGTACCACACATAAGTATAGGTTTGTAAATATTTTATTGAGCAAAAACTTGGTACCTTCTTATTCCTACACACAAATTTTTTATAATTCTCTGTTTTTTCTTATTAATTCTTCTTTATTTTACTAGTAAATATTCTCTTTAATTCATGTACATATATCAGAATAATATAAGAAAATATTAAAAATATTAAAAATATTAAAAAATACTAATATAATAAGGAGAGGAATATAATATCGAAAATCGAAAAATAAATCGAACTCAATATTTTTCTCTAAAAATTTTTTAATTCATTTGTGTACTCTTTTTTTTAACGAATCCGTATATTTCAAATTAATTAAAAATTAATAGAATGTATTCATGTGTACAATTTATATGAAAAATTAAAAATTTTTTTAATATAAACTTGCACATTTGTAATGTCCACATTATTCGACATTTTTTTTTATTTTAACCTCTTTTTCAAATTCAAATATCTGACTTCAAAATTGCTGCGATTCTTTATTAATAAACAGTAAAGCTTATACGAAGGCAAAGCGTATGGCTAAGAGATTAGACTGAATTCCGGTGAATGATTTTATTTGTCAGATTCAAGATTTCTTCTGTAAGAAATTAAAAACTGTATTATAATATCGTGTAAACATAACAACGTAATAGTAGTTTGTTTAATCACAATATTTTGTTTTCATTCGCCAAGCATGTCACACAGAATTTTATTCGACAGTCGTTCACTTAAAATTCAAGCTAGCTAATCATAAATATTCGCTTAGACAATCATGTTAAGCCTCTAGCTGTTGTAATTGCTCTTTTGCATATAAGTACAGCATTACTAAAATTTTAAAATCACGACAATTTTTACGACGTTTGTATAACTTTAAAATGGTTTAGAATTTTAATTATAGTAGCAATTCTCTTGTCTTTACTTAACTTTTGTAATTTTTGCAGTTTTGATTTTTCAACTTTAAGATATGGGTTAAACAAATCATATTTTTTATTATATCAATTTGGAGGACCAATTACAGATTTTTATTTGTAATTTCTATGTATAAAATTTAATTATAAAACTTTATACTAACTGAATTTTCGATTAGAAAGAAATATATAACTACATCAATTTAATTAAAATTTGGCTCTGGTGGCGATAGTCTTCAATTGAAACATTTCAATTTAATGCAGTTTATATTGGCCTTTTAATTTAGATCTCTTTACTATTTTGGAATAAAACTAGTCAAACACAAAAAACTGATATTTTTCAATAATTACGATTAAATAGTGCATACGTATGTATTTGTATTACGAAAATTGAAATAACTTAGATTAGTTTATTTAATATTTTATTTGAAATTAATGTATACAATTTTGATATTACATTATTTCATCCTCATACCAATTACACGTCTTTTTAAAAATTGATTGAATTTTCTAATTACTAGCCTTTTTTGTTTAAAAACTTTTTTCTTATTTAGCTTTGTTACAATTTTGAAAAGAAAATTTACAATAACTATAATATAAAACAAATCGATGAAATGTAAAAAAAAAAAAAAAAATGTAATGATTTAAAACTAAAACAAATTTCAATTACGAAGTCAATATGATAAAATGTTTTGTAATAGCAATTTAATATCAAAAGTGATTTCAAACACTTATTCGGGAAATAGTTATTTTCATTAAGAGCTTTTATTTTATATTTTTATGTATGTATTTATTATGATTTTGTCCATTTTTTACTATGCGCTGTCTCTTTTATTTTAGCTTAAAAGGACATATAGCCTCTAGCATTTGCCCTTCTGCGCGCCAACAAATATGTTATCAAAATAACTAAAATTAAAGCAGCTAAAGAAACTCCAACAGCAATAGGTACAGCATCAGGCGTATCAGAAGCATCGCAATCTTTAGCCGTAGAGAATTTTTTGGAACCTCCGGTACGGTAAGCTTCTATTTGCACGTTTGATATGGTTAGGGTACCAGCACTTTCTGTATCACTTAGTGATTGTGTTAAGTCCAATTCTGTCTTTCTTGTACAATGATACGACATTCCAACTGGTGTACGGAAAGTGTATACCTGAGGACCACTTTGATGAACTAAATTGACAGTTCGGTTTTCTAAAAGAAAAAGAGTAAACAAAATGAAATTATTATGTGTATTGTTTTGCTTCAAAATTTACTATATATCTCATTATAATTTTACCATCTGGATAAATATCATCAGTTATGTCTATTGTTAGTTGAATTGTGTACAGATAGAAAAGACTATCATTTTTTAAGAAAATGAAGCTATATGAGTTCTGAACTGAAGGTAAAGAACCGTTCCATGTCATATGAATTGACTGTGAGCCATTGCTGTTGCACTCATAATCGAAAACACTAGCCGTCTTTGGAATGTTATATATAATATTTGTGGTTTTATTTTCTGTAAAATAAACAAAGTAAGTAAAAAAAAATTATGCAAAGGTTTGCAAATTACCTTTTGTTACATAGCTAATATTAACTTGCGACGCCATTTGTATCATAATACAATCAGTAGTCCATGTTAAAGTTTCAGGTTCTTTTGGTTTGGGGGTCGGTGTTGGAGATGGTGTAGGACCTGGTGTTGGGGGTGGAGTTGGTGTTGGGGTTGGAGATGGGGTTGTTGTTGATGTTGTAGTTTTTGGAGTTGTTGTGGTTTCAGGAGTTGTTGTCGTTTCAGCAGTAGTTGTTGTTGTTGTCTTTGGTGTGGTTGTGGTTGTAGTTGTAGTTGTAGTTTTTTCAGTGGTTGTTGTACTCGTAGTAGTAGATGTGGTTTTATCATTATCGGGCACAATTTCAGTTGTTGTTATAGGAAGTGATGAAGTTGTTGCCGGTTTTGCTTCTGATGTTATTGATGTGTCGCTTGGAACAGCCTCAACATCTACTTTGATTTGCTTTAAAGTATCGACAGTTGAAGTGTCAATTGCACTTGCTTTTAAGAAAAAATAAAGCAAAAATTTTTCATCTAAAATTTATTTATATTTAGAAGTTCTTAAAAAGGAATGCAATCAAGAATAGTTTCTAATGATAACTGTAGAAATAAAGTTCTTATTCATTATGATATTTTTTTCATTTTTTCACTTTCTCTCTTGGAAATTTTGAGATACAGACGTAAGTGAAATAAAAATTTAAGTGAATTTTTTTCGGAAAAAGAATTGAAATTACGATTTAATTTGGAAAAGGTCTTGAACTTGCAAATTGTTATTAATTTATTTATTTCTTATTAATTTCAATTAGTAAGATTAAAATGATTTAATGCATTTTTAAATGACAATAAGTACATATTTTAAGATATTTAGCTAAGAAATTGGTGATAAGGTTTATAAACTTCACTTTCTTCTTGCGAATATATTACAGTAGAAGGCGGGATGAAATTGCTAATGCTATTTAGGATTGGTGCATCCTTCCATCTGTGTATTTTTTTCTCAAAATCGAGTTCAGCTATTTTATTTATAAGTGTGTATTTTTATACAAATTTTATTTATAAGTGTGTTTTCTACAGACTTATCTATGCACACATTAATGTCTATAAAGAATGCAAATAATTTTTGGTTTAAATTCACAACGTATAAGCACATCGCATACTAAGTAAATTAAGAGTAAGAATAATTAAAAAAGAATTAAATCCTGTCCGAATAGATAATATTACTGTCCCATTTGAGAGGGTGATACTTTTACATCCTAATTTATTACTACATTATGGAGGGCTTCAGTACAATGATTTTTTTGGATTTTTTTTTTTATCAAATTCATATTTTAAATTTAATTTAAAATAAAATTTGTTATCTGCATTTATATAAGCAAATATTGTTGCTTATCTACAAAATTTACCAACTACGAAAGCGTACACGTCTGTACCTCTATTATTTTTTATAATAAAATCACAATTTTTCTACTTATTTTCGTTTTCTAAAGGTAATAAGACCCTGTTTTCTGTAGAAATTCAAATAATTTTTTTGTCTACATTAAAGTTAAATATTGGATTTGTAAACAAAGCTTCGTAAAATTATGCAACTGAATGTGATAATGATTATTCCGAAGACTAAAAATGACGTGCACTGTATTCTTTTTACTTTATTGCAAAAAATATGTTTTTTACAGAAGAAATTTTACATTTTTCTTCATTACACCATATTACGGAATAATATTTATAAATATATAATTATATTACATACAAATACATATATTTATTATTTGCAATTTAAAATAAAATTATCAAAATATTAATCTTCTTTGTCGTAGTTTCGTATATAAAACAACAGAAGCAAGGTAAGGAAAAAATGTAAATTCAAAATTGTGAAAATAATTTTTCAGTATAAGCAGGTGGAGGTTATTTTTCTTACGCAAACACTAATAGGTAGATAGGTAGGGAGTACAAAAAAAAAAAATTTCTTCAAAATATGTACGTTATCGATTTTTTTTTTTTCATAGCGTTGGCTATACAAATTTGAACTGCCTTTCTTTCTCCTACTATTGTAAATGTTAATTGCAATTGCAATTACTGAATTCAGTTACGATATTTGCCACAAACCCGAGCATAAAGTTTTGGAGCATTTTCTAATTAATAATTGAAATTGAATGCAAGCTCCAATTTCTTTTCTTTGTGCAATCCCGTTAATGCTTTATAATAACTGATATGGCTTTTTTGACAGCTTTTTGTAAATTTTCAAATCGGCCCTTTTAAATATTGAAAAAGATTATATTTATCTTTTAATGTCGTAGCAATAATGTTCTATGAAAACAATGCTAAATTTTTGTAATTTTTATAGGCAATTTTTAAAATTAGTGTTGAAATAATTGACCCATTATTGTAAGAGTATTATAGCTATTGTACCAATGTGCAAATCTACATAACTTTCTAACATTTTGATATGTTTCGAGTATATTGAAATATAAGCTTTTATTAAATTCTATCGATTTACAGTTTTTTATTCCAAAACTATTTAGAATCTAACCTAATTTTTCTAAATTCCTTGAACAATTAAGGAAAAAACAAAAATAAAGAGATCATATGAATATTTAAATATGTATAAAGAGAATGTAAAACTTCTGATAAGCACTTATTTTCATTATTTTTCTTATCTTTTAAAAAAACCAATGTTTGTATTTCAAAAGGCATTGGCATTTAAAACAAACATGCAGCATTTTTAATTTCAAAAAACAAGCATTAATTTTTTGTATGTGGGACGTATTTTAGGTACATACAAACTCACATAGTTTGTACTGCATATTTTGTACTGCAGAAAATACATGAGAGTACAGGAAAAATCTATAAGTTTACCGAAACATATACATATATGGATAGGTACACCTAAAACATCATTTGTTTTTTTATTAATATACTTGGTCAAAGGACTATTTTTTAACAATTTATATGTACTTACATTGGCACCTAATTAAATCTTAATAAAACAGAATTAAGACAGATATACACTGTATGTATAACTAACTAAAACAAGACAAGAGAATATTCAGGAAATATTAATCGAAAATTCGTATAACTTTCTATTTTCATAATAATCGAATATAAAATTTCTTGACCAACCATCAATCTTTAAAAAATGAAAAGAAAATAAATTCATTCTTTTAATGAAACGGCGTAAGCTACTAATATGTAAATAAAGACATTGCTGGCGATTTTTTTTTTAATAAAAATACAAATATGTAATATAATATTTCCAAAACTTTAATGATTCATCTGAATTGGTATTTTGTTTATCGAAGCGCTGCATATTTTATTCTTATCTTTTGTTTGGAAAAAACACTGTATTTTTAGTCATAGTCAGCTAGTTATAAGAAATTATAAAACAAAAAAAATTCACATTTTTATTTGCATACACATCAATTTTTTCGAGATAAAATTCAACTTCATTTTAAGTTTTATAATGAGACTGTACTTAAACATATCATCCCATTTTTTTATTAATTTAACAAAGGTTTTTTTTTTTTGGTATATTTGCTTTTGAAAATAATTATTATTTTTAGAATAAAGTTAACTACGCATTGAAATTTTAAATTTGCATATTCATGATGTTAATATATCATTTAGGCACTAGATACATATGTACATACATACTTGCCTACATATTATTATGTTCATAATAAATTTGGATAAATGTTAAGGCACTTTCTTTAATAAAATTTAAAATATAATTTAAGATACTTACCAAAGCAAACAAGTCCTATAATAAAACTAAATACTAGAATTTTCTTCATATTTTTTCTAATTTGACTATCTCTTTCAAATTTTTTTTTTGCAATACTTCCTTTTGTTATTTTTCACTAATCTTTCTTTGTTCACAACTTTATAATTCACAAATCACGAATAAAATAAAATAAATTTCAAAAGTCAAATCATAAATTATGGAATACTTGAGCAAGCATCGATAGAGTTTTCAAAAAATTAGGTTACGTTCAGAAATTTACTATGTTTATAATTATAACAATGATTTTTCATTTTTTTCTGACGCTTTAATTTACAAATCGACATGATTGTTTCGCAGCATAAAGAAGGTTGACGGTCACTTCCCACAAAATCACCATTCAGCCCATTGAAGCCAAATGGGCTGAATGGTATTTTCATACGAACTGACAGCCTACCTTTTAAAATCAAGTATTCAATGCTTTACAACGTTATTGCTAAGTTTTTTTACATAATTTTGTATATAATTTATATAGTATCTATGTGAATAATATTAATTTGTAAAATTATTATTCACATAATGTTAATTTTTAAAATTAAACTATTTCTTTATGAAACTTGCCGAGAACAAGACAAATTTACTGATATGTCATAAAAAATTACGCTTTTATTGAAAATTCTGTGCGATCGTTCTTGATGCTGTAAAAACGCTTGACAGTCACTTCACATAAAAATACCTTTCAGCCCATTTGGCTTCAATGAACTGAGTGGTGATTTTGTGGGAAGTGACCACCAACCTAATGGACTGAATCGTGATTTTTTTGTGAGCGACCATCAATCTATGTTTCAACCTTTATAAAATATTTATATGTTTATTGGGATCGGAAAATAACAAAATCGTTGCTCACTATACTCAATTTATAAACTCAAAAGTCATCGTTGTACTAACCGGGTTGATTTTACAAAAATTTTTGCTAAAAAATAAGATTTTTCTTTAAATTTAAATAAAATGGAGACAATTTTGGGAATAAAGGGTAAAAATTTCGTAATGCTTGCTGCTGATTGTACACAAGCTCACTCAATTATTGCTATGAAACAAGGTAAGGATTGCAAAAGAAAAGTATTTGAGGAAATGAAATGACTTGTCAATTCTAGATGAAAACAAAATTCATAAAATATCAAACAATTTGGCTATAGCTACAATTGGTGAATCTGGTGATACCGACCAATTCACGGAGTATATATCAAAAAATATTGCTTTATATAAGATGCGCAATGGCTATGATTTAGGTCCAAAAGCTGCAGCTCATTTTACACGAAAAAATTTGGCAGATTATTTGCGGTCAAGAACTCCATACCATGTAAATATGTTTGTTGCAGGGTAAGACTTGGAAGTCCGATGATATAATTTTTGCATTGAAATTGGTTTTTTTATGCAGGTATGATGAAAAAGAAGGTTCAGAACTACATTATATTGACTACTTAGCTAATGCAAAATCATTAAACTATGGAGGGCAAGGTTATGGTGGTCTTTTTTGCGCAAGTATATTTGATAGATATCATTATCCAGATATTACTCAAGATGAAGCATATGAAGTTTTAAGAAAGTGCGTAATTGAAATCCAAAAACGGTTAATAATTAATCTACCTAATTTTAAAGTCGCCATCATTGACAAAGATGGTGTAAAATACTTAGAAGACATAACAAGTAAAAATTTGTCTTAAGACCTAAGCTTGTACTTTTTTTTATAAAGAAAATATATGTACGTTTAAAAATGTTTAATACACATACTTCTTTGTTTATTTACATTTGCTTGTCATGCCACATTTTATTGTAGGTAGCTTAATAAAAATTTGCTGAAGCTTCAAATAAAATATTTTGCGATGAACCCAGGATATAATACTTAACCAACCCTGTATTCAAATCATTGATTTCTATGACCTTACATATGTTATAAAATATAACATATGTACATAAAATATAAACAAGACTATAGAAATCCGATATAATTTTCACGAAAGAAATTAATTTAATTTTTTATATTGCCTTTAATTTATAAACACGTACATTTTTATAAATAACTAAAACGTCTTCATTTTATTTCACTACTTAATTTTTATAACAACTCTAGGTTTTGTTATTTTCATTTTCCAGCGACTGCAGTATTAGTTTTGGATCGATAGAAGGATCTTTTTTTAATTCTTCTCTTATATAAGCATTTAAATCTTTAAGCGGTTTATAATAGAGATGTACAGCTTGTGAGCCAGCAAACATGGTTACTAACGCGCATGAAAGAAATTTCAAATACTCGCCCCATGAAACTCCAGCTGGCATTTTATCAAGCTTTATCTTTCAATTTCGCTTCGATTAGTTTTTCTTCAATAAAATTTTTTGCTTGCCTTCTTTTAAAAGTTCGGTCTGAAAATAAAATAAATGAAAAAATAATTATTAAATGTATTCCCCTAATAAATTTTACGACAATTACAGAAATTAGTTTCTCCAACTGTCCAATTTATCATAGAAAATTCTAATGCTGCTCCTAAAATGAAGAATAGGGGCAAAAAACGGTAAATACCAAATGTTTTCTTCCCAGGATATTTATCTAAGATTTTTCTGATTGTTGGACTATATAAAGGTTTCATATTACAACTGCACGAAATTTACCATATTTTACAATTCTCAAAATAAAATTTTATTATTTAAACAAAATTATTTGAAATTTTTCAATGCTTTTTTAAAATTTTAATTTTTTTCCGAATATTATGTATAAAGTTATCAAATATCAAATAGCCTAATCGGAAGCAAAACAAACAGTTTACAGCTGATTATGACATCTAAGAATAATATTGATAATAGATAAATACACCCCTTACTTAGTGTTCCCAGACAGCAAAACACGTAGCCAAATTCATTTAAATAGAAATAATTGCAAGTTCAAGTTACAATTTTCAAGTCACTTTTCCAAAAAACGGTAAAATCAGGGTTGCCTAATTTATATTGTTAGCTTCACTGTTTACTACTTTTCAACTAAACCTAAATTTCACTATCTTATAATGTTAAAAAAGTTTTTGCTTGAAATTTTATTTGTCTTACCACATTTAATTTTAATAATTTGTAATATTTTTTGTGAAATATTCTTAAAGTATATTGCAACTTATATTGTTCTCATAGACTTCGTTAGATGGAAATAATTTGTGGGTTGTTATTTTATTATTTTTGAATAGATTTTATTTTTGAATTGATTTTTTTACTTGTATATTTGTTGGTAGACCAGATAGGAGACCGAAAATTTTCAGTTTTTTCAATGAAATTCAAATTCAACTTAGTGAAATGCTGAAATATAGTGATAGGTAGAATATAAATATTATGTAATAAATAACAAAATGTGTATAGCGTTTAAAAATTCAGTAAACAAATGCATAATATTTTTGCAAAGCAAATTTTGTCATAGAATCTGGTTTTTAATAATTTCTCCGTCTTCCTTTTTAAATCTTATAAGTTTGGCTATACTATTTATTTAATCAATTTAGTCAATTGGGAAATATTTTGTCTGTCATTAAAAACAACAAGCACATGGTAAACTTTCTTGTTTTTTTTTTGCAGAAGAAAATCATAAACATTGTAAATCGTTATTAATGTGCTTGTAATATAACAAAACATATCAGAATTTTTTAAAATTAAAAATTTTAAAATTTGTCAATATGGAAATGAGCGAAATGAAAGATATTAATGAAAAAGAAACTGTTGAGGCAGTTTCAGGACAAATTATTTCAAATGGTAATTAATGGAGATTGAATTTTGTTTGAGAACATGCATATTATACACTAACTATTTTATCTTCTTAAATTCCTATCATTTATAATTTGTTCTTTTTTTCAGAAGAACACCTCAAAGAAGAAAAAACAGAAAAAAATATTTTAATCCACTCTCAAATTATAATCAAACCACCAAGTAAAAATACAAATGAAAAAGACAATTCTTCACAAAATATTGAAAAAGAGCAAATAAATATGGATGATGCAGATAAAAAAAAAAATTGTGATGATTTGATGGATAGCTGTGTCGAGAACGCAACAGTTGACAGTATATTATCCAACAATGATTCGCCACAAATTGAATGCGAAGATAAAAATGAAATTTATTCTGAAAATACGAATGAAGAACAAACACTAGAAGACAGAAAAACTAATTTTTTATGCGACAATATAAAAAACACAAGTTTAGGGTTATTACAGTCACAGTATTCTGATACGGATACAGACTCTGATTCTGATTCTACTGCGTCAGAAAATGTTCAAGATAATGGCTCTAACGCGCATTCCAGCGATTCAGAACCTGTTGTTGTCAATGATCAAGAATATCGTGATCAGATATATGAAATTGATTCTGACAGCAGCTCTTCAGATTCACCCGTTGAACTCGAATATGAAAATGTTAGAAGAATGATAACAGATTTTGAGGGAAATGACGAAGAGGAGTTGGAAGATGACACAGAAAATATGAAAAAAAGAAACGATCCCTTGCGTGTCAAAGGCGAATTGCTTCTTCACGAGTTGCCACCAATCCAAGATCTTCAAATTACTGTGCCAGAAGAAGAATGTATTGAGTTAGGTAAAGTTGATTCTATTGTAGATCAATTAGTTTTGGTAAATTCTATACCAGGAACAGTCCTATTGAATTTGGATACAGTTCTCTTCCTTGAAAAGGGTCAAAAAGTGCTAGGTTTGTTTTTTTAATTAATATTTACCTAGAATGAAAATAGTAATTTTACATTTGAATTTCCTTTTAGGAGAGATATTTGATGTTCTTGGAAAAGTTAGTAACCCAATATACTGCGTGCGTTTTAATTCAAAGAAACAAATTGAAGAGAAGGGAATCGAAATTGGACAAATTGTTTATGTTGCGCCAAGAACAGAACACACGCAGTTTGTAATTTTATCGGAGATTATGAAATCACGAGGATCAGATGCTAGTTGGAAAAATGATATTGAACCATCGTCCAGGCATATTGATTTTTCAGACGATGAAGAAGAAAGAAATTATCGTCGTTCCATGAACAACAAAAATCATAATGATACGCCCGATAATAGAAATGAAAGAAAACGACAACGCACGTTTTCGCAGTCATCACAAATGACTGATACTTCCTCAACAACTTCACAATCCAGCTATTGTACTCAAAATCCTAGGGGTCGTAATAGGGGACGATTTTCTCGGTCACGTCCATCGTACCAACGGCAATTTGAACCAAGAAATTGGCCTGTATATAATAATTTTCGTCTTCAAAACCCGCCATCTTATAATTATGACCAATTTAATAACAGTTGGCATTCAAATTTCAATTTCAACGTTAGCGGTTATCAGTCCTTTAACAACAGGAGCAGGAATAATTCTATGAATAATTATAATCAAAATCTAAATGATCAACAACCATTAGTTAACCCTGACGTATCAAATTTTAATTCTGTCATTTATCCAAATCCTTACGCGATTCGTCCACCCTATATTCTACCAAATACATTACCACCGAATGTATCCTCGCCTCCACCTCCCCCTCCCCCACCAGCAAATCCATAAATGTGAACATTTTTTAAATAAAATTAATATTGTTCGTAAGTTTTTCCGCAACTGAATTATATTTTTTTATTACAAAAAAATTGGCTCAAATTACAACGTTTTATGTTACTTTATATTAAAAAAAAAACAGTATCAATAAAAAATTTCAAAAAAAGTCAGGATTATTTTTCTCTGAATTTATTTTTCTTATTTTTATCTTATATCTAATACAATGCATAAATTGGATCGTTTGTAACACAGGCAATTTTTTAAAATATTAAATAAAGTTCCTGACCAATATTACCTCTTACTTTTTTATCAACAAAAAAGGAATCTCCCAATTATTTGAAACTTTTTTATTACCTTAATTTTCTCTTTAGAAGACCCTTAGTTGTAACGATCTCAACGCAAAAGAGAAATAATGGCATTGACTGAATTGATCTATTGTTTAAAGTTGATTGCTTTCTGAATTTATAATCGGAAGATTAGGTTGTGTGTTTGACATTTTTGTTTTTGTAGAGATTTCTTCAAAATTTTTGTTCGAAATTTCTGTCCTTTCAATTGAATCATTTGGTTGAACAGAATGTGAAGATTCTGCATCTAATGATAATTCGTTTTTATTTTCGTTATTTATGTGGGTCTTTGTAATAAAACTTTCACGAATTTCCTTTGGACAAATTTCTAACCATTCCCCTCCAAGCCTTTTTTTAAGAAGAAAATATAGTAAGAAAGTAATTTAAACTGTTAATTGTATACTTACATCTGACATAAATTACTTATTGTTGTATCGGAATCGCCAAGTAATTCTACATCGAAATCCATATGTGGAAGTTGTTCAAGATTTATTAAGACTTGTGGTATATTTGGTGGAATTAAATTTGGAATTAATGCCACTGGCCTGACTTTTAAAGAAGATCCAATAACAATCAATAAATCACATTCATCTTTATCATCAGCAATTGCTGAATGAAATGCATCTGGTAATCCTTCTCCAAAAAATACAATATCTGGTTTCATAATGCCATTTTGCACTAATTCTCTATAATGATTATGAGAACGTCCATTCAATGTTTCTTTATTACTAGTTTCTCCATTTCCATTCTCTAGTTGGCTTTCTGAAAATAATACGATGCCTTTCTCGGTAAGTTTATCTGGTTTATCGTAATCATCACATATGTTTTCAATTGATTTGCTTTTTGTCTGCTTGTTTTCAACAAACAAAAGTTCGTTATCAACATGAGGTTGACATTTTGGACAAACTGGAATTTTTTGTGCAAAAATTTGATCTCTTATTTCATTTGCAGTCTGTTTTAGTTTACATTTAGTGCAAGATGCAGTGGCGAATGAGCCATGACATTCAATGACGTTGTTTATGCCAGCAACTTGTTCTAATGTATCTATATTTTGTGTGTAATTTCTTAAGAGTTTTCCTTTTTCTTCCAAAAACTTTATAAAACGATGGCATAACGATGGTGTAAATTGGCCTGGATATATCTCTCGTGCAAATCTAAAAAACGGTCGTGGATCATTGGAAAAATATTGGATATCGAACATTGCTTGTGGATCTGGGAGATCTGGATAGTCTTTTGCTAAACGGGCATATATCCCATCAGCAGAACGGAAGTCTGGTATACCACAAGAAACTGAAACTCCCGCGCCAGTGAGAACAATTATTTTTTCTGATGTGCGTAAGAGATTAACCACGTCACCTATCGTATTAACATCGTTTAGCTTTTGGCGCCTTGGTGGTTCGGTTAACATGCTCGCAATTATTTTCCATAAGTTCATATCATCTAAATCTGGTGATATATCCTTCATTAAAATTTGTGATAAAATATCTCGTGGATTTGCCCCAGATGTCATTTGACATTGTATCCAATTCATTGCTTTCCATCCTTGACCAAAAAATTCTGTAAACCCAGACATACTTGAAAAACTAGAAGAATCGTCTGTGTCCATAAAATCATCGTCATCTTCATCATCATCATCATCGTCATTATCTTCCACTTCATCCATATCACATTCTTCCTGTTCTATTTCACATTCTTCACAATCGGATTGGTCATCTTCGTTTGCGACACTATCAATATTTGCAGTTAATTTACTGTATTGAGATTGATGGTGGTTAACTTGTTGATCAATTTGATTGTTTAGTAACACTTTAGCGAGTTTAGTAAAGTTTAAGTCGTCGTCAATTGTTTCATTATACACATTTTGAGCTGAATTTAATATTGGATCTGTATTACTTTGTTTTGTTAATATAATGGAATTCTCCATTGAATCGTTTAATGGTTGCGACGAATTAGAATCACTACTGCCAAATGGATTATCGCTACTACAACTTTCACTCATTTTTATAAATTTGAATATTGTTTTACAAAATTAAATAAAAATTGTACATGAAAAAAAAGCTAAATAAAATTTTTATTTATTTTCCGATGAATTAATAAAAATTATAAAATTTTTATTAATATTTTTATTTTCCTTTTTTTAGAAAGCGATTTGACAGATAACACAAAATGACGTGATTAATGACACAAAATAACTACATAGACATAATGTACATACATATTATGAATAACTTAGTATGTACCAGAATGTGACATACAAGAATTTTTGTATACGCATTGTAGGAAAATTTTAATTTGAAAACTTTCCAATGTTTTGATGTTTGATAAATTACCTACATATTTTAAGTGAGTTTATATAACGATCTCTCAACCTTTTTTTTTGTATATTCTATGTATATGTCATTAAAAAAATATTTATTTAATTTGAGTAAAAAATAAAAAAATAAATAATAAAATAAAAATATAGCAATGAATAAAAAAATGTGAAAAAATTGGAATTAAATTAAAATTTTATGGATAAAAATAATCCATTTAAAACCAAATGGATAAAAATAAATTAATCAACGTGAAGAAATTTAAAAAAGAAAAAACTCATCTAAAACAAACTTATGCAGAGCTATGCAAAAGGGCAAAATTATAACTCAATCCAAACTAGAGAATTTTTGATAATTATGATGTGATTATTGATCGCTTAATGGATATAATATGAAATATAATTTTGTATGGTTATGGATCAAACTAATAATTAATTAAATAAGAGAGTATGGCAACCGTGAAATCAAACAATGAACGAAATGTCAAAGGCTTGACATTGCTGATTTTATAAACAAATCAACAAAATTTGAAATATAAATAAACATTGATGAGTGTTTGATAACCATTTTTAAAAGTTATTTAAAAAAAATCAGATTTTAATTAGCTGAAAGGAGACTTACTTTAAAATGAGTTCAGTAGTTCCTAGAAGAAGATGTGATTATAAAGGTGTGAATATATATATATTTTTTAAATGTTCAAACTAATAAGAAATTGATCCAAATTTTCGTTCAGGTTGTACAGAATTCAGGGACAAGTTTAATTTAAACCAAAATGTAAAATTTTTTAGTTTTCCTTCGGATTTAGAAAGAAAAAAAAAATGGTTAGAACTTTCTCAAACGGAATCGCAAAATCCTAAATTTATTTGTTCGAAACATTTTGCAGACATATATTTATCTTATAGCCAAAGACGTGTTCACTTAGTAACATCAGCGCTACCGATCGATTATAATACAGTAGATTTTCTTGATTAGCATGTGTGAAAATTCATATATTGCCCTAGTTTTTATTTTAGGTCAACTCCATATATGTAAATGTCGAAAATAGCAACAATGTACAACAAGACGAACATAAAGAAGAGAAAAATACGGTGGATGAATTTATAGATAATACTTTGTGTTTCGCTGAAGTTGAATCTACACCAATAAATTATAATGAAGAAAAACCAATTGAAAATAATCAACCGCAAACGAAAATATTAAATTCTCTTGTCCCAATTTCATTTAAAGAAAGAAAAATCGAAATTTCGCCAATTTCTACTGAATCTAAAAAGGCAGTTAATTCTAAAAAAATCAAATTAGTAAAACTCGATAATACTAAAATTAAGCGTTTCTATAAAGCTAACACTCTTATTAAACAAGAATCTAGAGATAAGAATACAATAATAGAAATTCAAAACGTAAATACTGATAAACATTCAGAAAATGGAATGAATAAAAAGACTGAAAAAGTAAGAACCGTTCTATTGGATGGTGAAGAGTATATTCAAATGCCGAAATCACTATACATAAAGGAAAGAATGGATTTATTGAATCAAATTGAAAATTATAAAAGTATTTTAAAAGATTTTAAGTACAAATTAGAAGATTTAAGCTTTATTTAAAATTGCTTATAATCATGAAAATTTTACATTAGAAATTTTACAAAAAAACTAATTGTATGTATAAATAGTAATTTTATCTTGTAAGAAAACCTCTGTAATTTTAATGTTTGATTTTACATTATTAATCATTAGTTAATTCCCATAGTATCATTATATTAATAAGTCAAAAGTAATTAATACTTTTTTGATTATATATATTATGTGAATACAAATTTCTATATGTAAAATTATTTATCAGTTTTTCTTTGGAAAAATTAGAATAGGTATGTACTATACATTTGTTAAGGATAATAAATAAAGTAGAATGGAATGATAGTTATTTAAATTTTTTTCAATTAACTGATTTGCAAATTGAACCAGAAATTTGTATTTTTTTTTTTGAGCTTTAAAAAACCTTATTAAAAACTTTTACTACTGTTGCAAGTAATTCAAAGATAGAATTCAGATGATATTAAGCAGTTGCTAAATGTACGTAAGTATAACAAGTACATTGACAACGTAAAATTAAATTTAAGTAACCATCTTATATAAGAACTATATACATAATATTTTGTTGCAATATTCAAAATTTTAAAATTCATATTTCTGAGATAGCATTTGAAAAGTTGATAAAACAATGAAAGAAAATAGTCTAAAAGTTTGTGATTCTCTTTATAATAGTAATAAAATTTCTACATCTTTTTCCAATAATAATCTCACAGTAGATAAAATTTTGAATTTCGGTTTTTGAATAACTTGAATAAATTTAATTCTCTTCACCTTAAAAAATTGCGCTCATATAGATAGCTATTCTTTTTACGTTCTTTATTAATAATATTCGCAATTTGTGAATACAAATGTATACCCAGCGAAAAAAAATTATCACACACTTACTATTTATCATAATAATCTATAAAAATTTAAATCAATCTTCATTTTAAGAGCTTAAAAAATTGATAAGATTTAACAATTCATTTAATGAGCTTTTACAATTATATGAAAAAAAAAAAATTTAATAGTACGATAAATTTTGTTTTGCTATGTAGTATTATTTTGATAGTCTTACGGGAAAGAATACAATTAACTAGAAAGCTTCCGGATTTTAACTATTCGAAAGAAAAGAAATTTCGATTTTTAATGGTAAAAATAAAACTGTTAGAATACAATATTTTAGTGTGATTATATTGATATACATACATAATACTATATAAATCTAATGAAGAAATATTTTGAATATATATGTATATGTATGTATATATAAATTACTATTATATATTATGAACATACAATTTTAGTAAAACGTACACGATAAAAATTGAATCTTTGAAATATTTTTAATTTATATTTAAATATTGGATCTGTGAATCCATTTAATTTATTGGATTCTAAAAAATTATTTGAGAAAGCGACAATAATTTGGAATAAATTGAAACATGTGCTTAAATAAATAACAATAAAATAATTGAATTAATAAATTTCTTATTAATTATAGTTCTGAACAGTTAAGTAACAATAAGTATGACGAATCTTTTCACTAATCTATTAAATTTTAATGTATTATATTATTAGAGGAAAAATTTACTTGCTAATTAATAATATTAGTTTTGCTAAATTATTCAACAGTGTTGTTAAAATATAAATATTACACAATTAATTAACACTAATTAAAATCTAGTTGCATTGCAAATATTAACTTGCATTAGATGTTTCAAGGATGATTCAATGATTTTATTTATTTGTGCAGTTTATATAAAATATATAATTTTTTGATTATATGCAGTTTTTATATTGTACATACATAAATAAAGCAGAAAAATTATGTTGGATCTATAAATAAAAATTGATCTATATTGCATATTAATTTTCACGTTAATTTTAATATTTTATGTTGAAATGAAAATAAATCCATGATATTTTAAATGTGCATTAGTATGCATGAAATTCAATTATGTATGAAATTTAAAATACATATTTATAAAATTTTAATTTACAAAAAATTTCGATTGAAATTTGATTAATATCTTTTTCATTTATAAAAATTGGAAACAACTGTTTTCTGTTTATCTTAAATTTATTTGTGTTTTATTTTATTTGTTCATAACAAGATAGTTATAGTTTTATATAAGAAAATATATAGAAAAGTAAATATATAAGAAATATATAGTTTATATAGAAAAGTATAAAATCCTTTATTACTACTTCTTAATTTAAGTTATCTTAAGTGGCTGTTTTGTTAGCGGATTGAGCTAGCTGCAATACTCCAGGAGTTTTGATAAAGTGCTAAAATATGTGGGGATGGTAATTACAAAAGATTCTATTAGGGTCGACGTGTGAAGGAACTAAGAGTCTCGGTATCCTACGACAAAAAAAAAACCGTTCTGTTAGGGTTTTGTTAAATTTATACTTTTAAAAGAAATGTTGAACAACTTGTAAAATAATTAAAGTACTTCAAAATGATATTGCACTTAATATTAAAAAATGTTCATGTTTGTGAATTCTTCTAATTTATATTTATCAAAGACAGGTTATAATTTGTTTTTATTATTTGATAAGATTATTTTAATAATTATCATTTTTTTTATGTTAATATTTAATTGTGAATTTACTTGAAATGTTATCTAAAAATCTAATTTGAAAGCTTTTTATTATTATTTAAATGTAGTATACTATTTACTAAGCAATTAAGAGCAAAAGGAAAAACAAAAAGTAAAAGTGTTTTGGAAATAGATGCCCATACGAGTATTATATCATTGCCAAATTTATTTAAATTCCGTGGAAATTATTCTTAAATAAAAATTTGTCGTGCGATTCATTATTTAGTTTTCATTTAAAAAAAAAATCATTTAGTTTATTTTTATTCTATTCAAACTCTTACAGAATTTTCCTAGTAATTTTTTAATAATTTGGAAATTTAGTCTCGTCTCGTCTCCTTAATAAAGCCATTTTTATATCATAAAATCATTTTATTACGGAGTTTGTTAATATATATGTATATATGGGAAAATTATATTGTATATAAATTGATAACTTTATTTACTAATTTTTTTTCCATTACTTTTTCCAAACTTTTTAATTTTAGGCGTTAGCAAAACCACCACCAATTGAAAATTTTGAATTATTTTTGGAGAATAATCTTAAAAATGGATCAAAAGTTATATCATATACAAGTAAATATTTAACAAAACCAGGTGATAATTATGGTAGCTGCATGTTAGCTGTGACAGCAAATATAAAACATTCAAATGGATTAAATGAAATTTTAGAATTAGTTGTAAAAATGCCACCAACAAATGAATTGTATTGGAAAATTTTTGAGCCTCAACGAACTTGTTTAACGGAAAACCTAGTTTATAATGTATTAATTCCGATATTAAAACAAATTCAATTAGATGCTAAAATAACAAATAATGATGATCTATTAAATGTTTTTCCAAAATGTTATGGAACAAGGATTTCATTATTAAGCGATACAAATATTGTTGATAAAAATGCTATTTTAATTTTGGAAAATTTAGTTTCTTTGGGTTATAAAGTTGCTGATAGATTAGAAAGTTTTGACTATAAACATACAATTATTGCATTAAGAGATTTGGCTAAATTTCATGCTCTACCAATGTCTTTAAGAATCTTAAAACCGAAGATTTTTAAAGAAAATATAATGCCGTATTTAAGAAGATTTGATATTACGAAAAATTTTGGTAAAGATTTAAATGATAAATTGATTAAGGTAAATATAATATTTCTATTTGCTATACATATGATTTATCATGTGTTCTACAAAATATTTGGTAATATCTGTATTTTTCGAAATATTTTGATTAATTTACTGTTTTGTGACATATATAATTACAAATAATAGATATTCTTAATTGTTAATGGCAAAATAATTAATATTTTTGTTTTTATGAAAATCAGAATGCTAAGAAAGATATTGAGTCTTTAAAAGACTTTTCATCCGAAGCTTTTATGAAAAAAGTGGATTATTTTATAGATAATTCATGCAAATATATGGCTAATACAAATGAATGTGAGGATAGTTTATTTACTACGATTGCACATTATGATTTTTGGGTCAATAATATGATGTTCCTATATGGTAAGTTTCTTATAATTTTAATTTTATTTCATAAATTTTTATGTTTTTTAATGTTTATATTTGTGTCGTATGCATAGATAAAGATGAAAATCCTGTAAAAATTAAGATTTTAGATTTTCAAATAGCTCAATATGAATCATTAGCACATGATGTAATTTTCTTCATATTTACAAGTGTTAAATCAGAACTTATTCAAGAACAATATGACCACTTTCTGAAGGTTTATTACGATGAATTTACTAAATGTTTATTATTATTGGGGTGTGATACATCAGGATATTCTTTTGAAAAGTATTTTTTTGCTATTAAAAATTCTTTTAGTAAATTTTCTATGGTACGAGTACAGAAATTATTTTTAAAAAAATTTTCTTTTGTTTTATTTTAGATTCATGGATGAAATTAAACGAATTGCACCAGTGCAATTCTTTCATATAATTTCAATGTTTAAAATTATATTTATAGAAAAACATGGCTTGCCAGATGATTTTAGCGATATGAATGAAAATACCTTGGATAATGAAAATGCTTATTCGGATAAATATTTTAATAAGTTAAAAGAATTTTTAAAATTTTATACAAAGAGAGGTTATTTAGAATGCTGATTAAAAATATAGAATTTTTCGAAAAAATTTTAATAAAAACCAAATTTATATAGTTTTGTATAATAAAGAAATGAAGACAGAAGCTCTTAGTTTAGAATAATGATTGTAAAACATTATAAATAAAATGAGAGATTTTAGTACAAAATCTGTATATAGCGTAAATGCATATGTATCTAATTTAAACAGCATAAATCTATTGAGGGAAAAATTGAAGAATTCTATATTGTGCATAATTTTTTTAACAATACGTTTCCCGATTTCAATTCTACAATTCAAGGATACCAGTTAAATATTAAAAATTAATAGCAAATATGAAAGAAATACGTTAGTATCACCTTTAAAAAAATAATATTACAATTTAATAAAAGGGCTGAAATTAATCATAATTAGATTGCATAAGTATAGGAGAATATTTTATTAAAGTGCAGGCTAAGCGTTAAGTGATCTTTAGACTGTTAGATATTGCAAAATTTTGTGACAAATTAAATTAGAATTAGGTAATTTTAAATCCAGGTAAATAATATTCAATTTAGAATTAAAAAAAATTTAGAATTTTTATTTAAAAAAATATCATTGGGGTCATGTTCTTTCTTTATGAGTTAAAAATATTTTTCGCAATTAGCTATAATACATACTTAATAAAATTAATTGACTAAACATTTCCCGCATAAATATTGTCATTCATCGCGCCTAATTTTATGCTTAGTTTATTAAAAATTCATTATGAAGTGAATTATTGTCTTTTCGTTATAAGTACGTAATATTCCATAATAATATATGTATGTATGTACACATATTCAATAACATCAACCTTTTTTTTAACAATACTCCAAAGAAAAACAAAAACGCCGGTAGCAAGTTGTGATAGCAAAAAAATTAAATGAGCCGTGTCATTGTAATTGAAGTTATTTTCCCATAGATATCTCATAATTGTAAGCTACTTAAATAGTACAATTTAATCATTTATTTCAATATCATTATACAAATTTTAAAGTTTTAATGTTTAAATTAAAATTTTTTAAAAAACAATACAAATATGACTTCCACAACTGTACACAACGTGGCCAAAATTTTTTATAATTGAAATTTAATTCAGATTTGAAGATTTACGAAAATATTGTTAAGCTTTGCGACGTTCAATATTTTTAAAATTTTTGCAAATTAAAGAATATTTTAAGAACTGGCTTAGACATTTATAAGAAGATAACATTAATAGCTTAAAAATTTTTTAATCACAATTATATTTTTTAATTTTTATAGCTAAATTAACTCTTACTTAAACAATTATTGTGTTTTTAATTTGATTTTTTAAGAATTTTATAAATTGGTAAATTATATAATTTTCTAAAGTAATAACTCAGCTAATTCCCATTTTTGTCTACTAGAATTTTCATCACAATCATTTAAAGTTGCAATTGATTCAGTTGTACCGTTAATAGACTGTGTTAAACATTTTCCACTTTTTAAATGAATAAAAATTTTACTATCATAGTCATAAAACCAATTCTGACCTTCAATATTGTTATCACATATTCTGAAATTTACTTGTGTTTCATTTCGATTTGATTGACTTAAACAAATTTTATCTGATTGAATTCTATTATATTTTGTATAAGTGAATATATGAAATGGATCAAATTTTAAACATTTTGTAAATTCAACGTTATTTTGAAGATCTCTACCGGTTGAGTCAAGACAATCTTGAGTCTCTATATTACGTATTCGACCTAAATGATTATATTCAAGTGGTAAAATATTTTCTGGGTAAACGTTTTTTAGATACCATTCAAAGTTTTTGCAATTTAAACGGGTACGTAATTCTTTACGTTTTGTTACATTGCCGGATATTGCATCAGGATTTAATGCAAAAAATATTTCTTTCCATTTATCCATCCAAACTTCCGCAACTCTTGCCTTATTTGTAAATATTGTTTGACGTTCACCCCTAGGAAATTTATGTGGTGTTGTTCTTCGAAAAACATGTCCAACACGTGAACATTGAATTAATTCTAAAATACCGCCACATTGCCAAACTCTAAATGACATTTCTAAATTTTCGGCGCCCCATATATCCATTTCATCATCATATGCACCAATTTCATAAAAAAATTGTTTATCTATGGCTATAAGACCACCGGCTATTGTTGGTGTTTGTATTGGTTCCGTTTTATCATAATTAATACGTTTCAATTCACGTTCTGGTACTTCCATCCATTGAAAATCTAAAATCCAATCAAAACCTCCTACTTGTTCATATACTTTCCATATTTTAAATGTTGTATCATCAATAATATCAATTTGTGGTGAAACAACAACATTTCGATTTGTTGCTATTCTTGATAATAATGGTTCTATCCAACCATCAGTACATTCACAATGCGAATCTAAAAATAAAACAACAGATCCAGTTGAATTTTCAACACCATAAAGTCGACCTTTTATTAAACCCAAACGTTCTTTCATTCTCAGTACTTTTACTGGAACTGGTAAATTTTCGACATAATCTTCTAATTGTTTTCCTAGAAAATCATATTCACTAGCATCATCAACTAATATTATTTCAGCAAGTAGTCTATGTGGAGTTCTGTTTATTACACTCCAAACAGTACGTAAAAGTGTTGACCATGCCTCATTTCGAAAAACTATTATTATAGATGTTTTTGGAAGATCTTCTAAGTATTTTTTCTTTTTACAAGCTTCAGATCTTAAATCCGGTAAAGACCTATTTAAAGCAATCATATCGCTTGCAACAATATTGAATTGAAATTCTGCGAATCTTTCATTTGCTTCTTCAATTAAATCTTTAGGAACATAAAATGGTTGCCCCATTTCGCCTGGTAAAGAGTTTTGTGTTTCAGTATTTATGGGTGTAATAGTTTCAATTTGAGATGCTGGTATATGATCTAATTTATCTTCATTTTCAAAAGTAATTGTATTCCAGTTATTTTCAATTGGAGTTGTTGGAGTTTTAATTTCTTCAGTTGGAAATGTAACTACAGTCTTAGTTTCTGGTAAGTTTTCCAAATTTACTTGCAAATTATTTTTATCTTCTATTGGTCGAGTGGGCTCTATTGGGGTGAGTAATGTATTTCCAAAATTAAAATCGATTCGTGTGGTTTCCGTGTCGTCATTATCATTTAAATCATAATTCTTTTTTATTGTTTTGCCATATTGATCAAAACTTGTTCTTTCCCTTTTAAAATTTGTATTAGTTTTAAAATTATTTGGAGAATTCCTGTATTCATCAAATGGCCCTAAACCGATAAAGCTTTGATAATTTATTCCTTCAGAACCATAATTTTCCGGCTTTGGTGTTATTTGCATTTTTTGTTGATATTCAGAATAAATTATTTCAACTTTCTGAAATATCATATAATTTGCTAAACAAAACACTATTGTAATAATTATCACCCAGACTGTGTGAGATCGTAGTGCTCTCTTAACGAATAGTTTAGTCATTCGCATTTTTCTCATAATCTATATTTGCTCTGTTCTTTTAAAGTTCTAATTTAAATGTTTTTTAAATAGGTAACTTATAATTAATTAATTTTTTTTTTTAAGAAGGAGAGATGTTCTTCCCGTAATGATAACCGTTTGTTTACTACTTAGTTAACGAAAAATTAAAAGAAAAATCACCTAATTTGTATTAGGTTCAGTTTAAAGGTTTACTTAGAAATAAGAAAAATATAAAAAATATCATGGTTTTGTTTCTCAACCATATTACAGTTGCGGCCATAAAAATGTTGGTTTTTTTAAATTTAATATTTTAATTATTAATATAGTTTATTTAAATTTACAAATTATCATCTGTTAATTTATCGTTGAAAATTTTGAAATTGTGAACAATCTGAAATTGTTTAAAGTCTAGCTAATTTTCTTATATTTCATCTTCGTTCGTGAAAACGAAAGCAAACGCTGACGAAAAGACGGACAGCATGAAACTGATAACCACATAATTTTCCAATTTTGTTGGAAATATTCTAAAAAATTCAATATGTTTAAATATTGTTTTAATTTCTAATAACATTAACTTACAGAATTTTGGGAATAGCTTAATAGGATTGCACTATAATAAAAACAAAATATTATAGCACACGTCGAAGATATTGGTATTTATAAAACGACTTTCGAATTCGAAATATTGTGGAGTGTATATTTAAAAACAGATGAAAAACTATTTTTTTGTCAACACAATTTTTCTTAAATTATTGTTTATTTTTCAAAATTCGTTCATCATTAAAACAGTTGAATCAACATATATATGCTATGTAGATATATGTTTTCGAGGTATACAAGCACATAGAATGTATATTAATGTTGAATATAAGAGTACCCATATACAGTGCTGGGAATAAAAATCTATTTTTTAAATCAATGCAATTTTTATAATTTTGGACCCAAAATGATAAAAATTTCGTAGGTGTTACTTACCACTTGGGTAGGTTTTTTTTTTCTTAAATTTATTAGTCTGAATCCGTTATTCTCAGCTATTTTCTGGTTGTGAAAACTTGTTATTTGATTTCAAAACATATTGGCAAACATTTATCACTATAAATTGTTTATAATATATATATATATATATATATATATATATATTATAATATATATATAATAATATATATATATATTAAAATATATATAGGTATATATATATATATATATATATTTTCATTATTGAGTCCATTTACTTTATTCTATGTTATGAAAATTTATGCAATTTAGCTTATGTGTTATTACATTGTATTACTGCAATTTTCAAGTCACAGGTGTACGTACATATATATGTATATGTTTCTTTGAGCGTCAATAAACATTTCAAACATTTTTTCATTTAAATGCATTTTTGGAATACGAAAAGTTTTGTTATATCTTTACCAGAAACTTATTTGTCTACACAAAGAACATCAACAATCTTGCGGCTCTTTTAAAATGTATAAGCCCAGAAAGTCTCAAAAATACGATTTTTTGCCAAATTATTGTTTTGAAACGACAAATACTTTTTGAATTTTGCTAACGCAGAAAAATAACGAAATGCTTCTTCTATCATGTCTTTTTAAAATCTATCGTTATTTAAATTGCGCTTACTTAAAATTTTTGTTATCTTTTTTTACTTCTACACGATAACATGTAGAAGTTTAAAATTTAAGCAGCTTTAAGATACTAATAAATCGCTTATTTCATTAGAAGAAATTTCTTTTCCACCTCTACCTCCTTTCAAGTTATCACCTCTCGAAATTCGTATAATATGTACTTCTAAAATTGCATGCTCTTTTAATATTCTGTATTAAAAGTAAAAAGCTAAACGTAAATGTGATTCTATCAAAAAATATAAATATTTCTCTCTATTTATTCAATCATCGAATTCAACCATTATATTAACGCTTCTTTTAAAACTTTTTTTTTTCTTGTTCATCCGTAATGTATGCAATTTTTTAGAAAAACTATATTTTTATTTGTTTAAGGGAAATGTGCTGTTTTACAAACCATATTGTTATTATACGAAATTTTGTTTTTATTTAATTGTAGTCATATAAAATAATTTACTGAAGTAATTTCAAATTTACATGTAAGTATTTTATAATTTTATGTGACAATATTATATTGGACAATTTCTCATCAAAAAGTATATTCAACTGATATTATATGACAATAACAATAATAACTATATAATAAATGACTAATAAAAAATTACCCATATACATATAAAAATAATAATTATTAAATTGTTACGCTTTTCAACATAAAATCTAAATATAATTTTAATTTTTTGAATACAATCATATTAAATACATCATATGTATGTATATACATTATTCCATATATTATAATTATTTTAATATGCATATGTATGTATGTATGTATATGTACAATAAAAGATAGATCAATTTATAAATTAGTTTTGTTTATGGTAACTTTATTCCTCACGAATAATTTTCAACATTATTGAAAGACAAGAAGAAGAAAAAATATTTGTAAAGGAAAAAAGTTAAGAAAAAGAGTCAAAAATTTAAGAATAAACAATAATAACAAATTTATAATAACCGCATTTATAATAATAATTGTACATAATATACATATATATATTCATTTACATTCATTACATACATGAATACAATTAGAAAGCTTTTCAACGTTTTCTTTAATATAATTTAAATGTAGGTATATTTGAATGTTTACTTTATTTTTTTCTACCGTAAATATAATGAACGAGTGAAGAATAACACAACGTTGATAATGTTGACGGGCGCAACGCTAACAACGGCTTTTCTGATTCTAAAAATGTTAAAAAAAAAAAATTATTTATTATTTTTTTCTCTGAGATATTAAAAAGAATTTTATACTTTTTGTTTTATTTTTTTTATTTTTTTTTTTTAAGTTTATACAAATATAATATACTAATGAATTGGTTTTGGTAATGGAATGGTATAATTTTTTATTGTGTTTTTTATTTATTATTTGTATTTTTTGAGGTTCGCATTCGTTCATATAATATTTACTACAGGTTTACGATGTTCTCTATACAAAAAATATGGTATGGTATGAGAAAAATAATTTTTTTTTATTTAGTTTATTCATTCTACTGAAACTGATAAGTTGTAATTTTTATTTAGTGGCAAAAATTATAATATTTAGGTATATATATATATAATATAAAATAATATATTTTTTTTGGAATATACTTTAAGTACAAGTATACATACAAGTATTATAATATTATATACAATAGAGTTTTTAATTGCATATTATACTTTATATACTTGTGTATATTATATGTGTTAGTTTGTTGTTTTTTAATGAGATATTTAAAAATCATCCGCATGTATAAATAAATTATTGATGCTGAACAATACTTTCATACATAATTTTATTTATTTGTTTTTTTTTTGGGTATAATATACTTGTAATTAATAAAATAAATACAAAAACTCATTTAAGATTCAAAAAAGTTAAAAATTTTTTAATTTGAAATTTTTATCATAAATAAAAGTTTTCATTATTTCATGTGATTTATATAATAAAAGATTTTTGTTGAAAAAAATTTTAAAATAATTATACGTTTATTTATTATTTCATTATTAAAATAATTATTATAAATATAATAATGTATATTCCTAATTATAAATTAATTAAGTGTCTCTTATATTTTTCAGTAATAAAATATTTACAAATTTAAATTTTTTTTGTAATATAAAAATTAAAAGTGAATTTTCTTAATATTTCAAAATGTATTTGGAAATTAAAATAATTTTATTTTAAGAATCTCAAAATATATATATAGATAATAATCTCGCATTTGAAATTAACATCATACATAATAAGTTTAAAACAGCATGTTCAAGATAAAAAACATTTTATTACTCGTATTGTACTATTTTTTGAAGTTTAAACTTTCCTATATACAAAATAGTATATGTTTAACATACATATGTACATATACGTAGTAGGTATATATTAGTATAAATCGTCTAATTTAGGGTGACCAGTGTTTTACAAAACAGGCGATAACCGAGTGACTACCAATAAAACTTGAAGTCAAAACGTAAAATTTATTATTATTGCTGATTTAGTTTTCTGTTCCGTAAAATGAAGAAGTAAACGATATATAATCCACTGTACTTGCTTTAACGATTATTGTCTTTATAAACCTTTTTTTTTTATACCATTTAAAAAACTTTAAATTAAAATTCAAATATTCAATGTTACAAAATGTTATCTTATATTCTTCATAAATTTAATTAAATACCATTTTAGATATTATAATAATAAATTTGGAAAAAACTCATTTCAAAAAGCAATAATTTTTTTTTTAATATAATGCAAAGACTATTGTTCCTATTTTTATACAATCAAAATAAGAGATAAAATCAGAAAGTTCCTTAAAATAAAATGCATTAGACGAATATTTAAGTAAACAAAATAGCAAGCATTTCAGTTAAATAAAGCAAAAGTACATATGGTCACCCTAGAGTGTATACTATGCAAATCAAACATAGTTTAGTATATAATGTGTGTATAGATGTATATGTATAATATAAAATTGCAAACTATTTTAATTAAAATTTTAGTTTTGTATTAATTAATTAGAGCGTGTTCGTATATGAATTTAGAAACTGATATACAATTTTGTTGTATATGTACTCGTATACATATGTTAAACTCAAGTACATAAATGTTCATACGTATATTACATATAGTTCTTAAAAATTGTGTACTATACATGAAATAATTTTGTTTTTTTTTAATTTTTTTAATGAGTAATTAAAATGTCGTTTAGTTATAATAAAAAATTTTAATCACTAAACTAAAATTTTAGTATGAATATTTATAATTAAATTTTTTTATTATATGTATTATAATTCAAATTTTTAAAGAAAGCTATAGGAAATTTTTGGAAACCTGTATACTTTTAATAAATGTACTTTTATCAAATGATGTATTTGGTAACTGATTTTGAAGACATTTTTTCATCTATCAAATTAAAATAATTTTATTCTCAAAAAACTTTCAATTACAATTTAATTTTAATTGAAAATTGAGCATGTCAATCAATTAATCAAAAGTATCTCTTTAATTAAAATTAAGTGTTTTTTTTTATTTTATAAGAGTTTAAAGTATAAGAAAAATTAAAATGGTCAATGGCGCCAGATTCTCATTTGTCGAAAATATTATTCTTATATTATATACTATGTATACTACATCTACATACATGTATATCTATATTTGTAAGTTTTTCTTATATATATTCTAAAAAATTATTAAAATTTTTAATTGTTATTCCATTGAAGCCAATGTTATATGTGTAATAACCGCTATGTTTTATTATACTTATTCTATATTATATAGGAAATTTAAATTATTCTTATTTACATTAATTTTGAAATTATAATTAATTAAATATTCTAAACACGTGCCATATTTCCTTACAATTCATCTTTTTTCATTGCTTGTTCTTCTTTCTGTTAGTATATATCAGTCAATTAGAAATCAATATGAATTCACTACAAAATAAAACAAAAAGATTTTAAAATAGTATATTCTATATTATTTTCATGCTTATACTTATGATTATTAATGTAGTATATTGCCGGTTGAAAAGTTTTTTTCGGCCATAACAATTTGTTATCATTATTTTCATTTTAAATTCTAGTATTTTTATAGTTCAAGAGTTTGCCTTCTTCTTAATATAAGAGCTCCCATAGAATACTACTTTTAATATTCATGTGCCATTGGGTTCCTTAAATTTTTATTCTTTTGTTTTTTCAGTATATTTCGGTTTCAGCACCAACTCCTTTCAGCATCTTATACTATTTTACAAAGTAATTAATTAAATTTCGAAATTCATCATGGTACACAATTATGTATTCTATATAATTTAAAATATTTGTTATGATTTTTCCATAACATTCTGTGAATTAAAATAAAAAAAAAGTAAACAATAAAAAAATTTATTAACGTAAATAAGTTTAATTAAAAGGTTAAATGAGAAAAATACTAAAATATATGTAGAGACACAAAATATTAAATTCAAATGAGTAGTGTTATTTTAAATCTCAGTGCACAAAATATAAAAAATAGTATTGAAAATTCACTTACATGTACTCGTATATATGAAAGTATAATTCAGTTAAAAATGTATACGACCATATAGCATACACAAATGACATGAGAAATTGTAATAATAAATAAGCGGTCATGTGGGTATTTAAAAGTTTTTCATTTTCTCAATTCTTAGATTATTTTCTCATATTATATTCTCATATAGAGATCTCATCTACAGAGAAAATCTTAATCTCAAATATTTTTAAGTAATTTTAGTTTTTTTTTGTTATTTTTAGACATTTAATTTATTTTCTCTTCTATTTGTGTATAGAAAAATTAAAAATATTAATTATATATTGATATTAACGTACATTATGTATGTATCTAGATGCTTATATACTTAAAATTTGTTAAAATAATAATAACAAATCAATTTCAAATGGGGCATAAGGTTTGTTACTTTTTTATTCATTTAATAATTTTTTTTTTTGTTTAAGTGATTTTCTATTACTTTAGTTATTAACATTGAAGTTTTACGAATTATTAAATTTCGTCAAAAGAAAGAAAATAATAAGGTAGACAATTTTTTTAATTTAATTAATTAAGATTTAATTTGGATTTAATAATCCCATAGGATTCCATATATCAAATAGCGTTATGACAAAACATTGCTTTCACATTGCTTTCTCTTCGAAATTTAAGTCACTTTAAAAGTATAGTCTTCGATGGAAATTTTGTTAATGGATTCAATGAAATAAGAATAAATATTTTTTGAAAATTCTCAGTTAATTCGTCAAAATCTATACTCGTATAACATATTAAAAATGGAAAACTAATAACTTGAAAAATCATATTATAGCCATGTACACACATAATTTAATATTTAATTATTAATAATAAAGGTTAGATTTATTTCCATTTCAATACGTAGTTAATTTTCTGAATTAGTAAACATTTTTTTTTATCTTAATAATTTCGAAAAAAAATTGCTTTACTAAATAACACATGCTTTAGTTCAATGTTTACAATTGCATTATACTGCAATGCATGTACAAACATGAGAAAACATTATTGTAATACATGCAACATTCAGTTATAAATGCATAAAACAAAGTCTTAAAAAAAGCACATTTCTTGCTATAATAAAAATGAATAGAGAAATTAACCGAATTCAAATGAAGTATTAAAAAAGTAATTAAATAGAATTTTTTTTAAAAGAAAATTAAAAATTTCTTATCAGTGATTGTCAAAAAAAAATAAAGTTGGGTCAAACCAATGGTTTGTATTGTAGCACTTTTCCCTTCAACAAGTAAAAATTCTGTTTTTAAATACAGTCTGTGGATACCTATCACACTATTAAAGCTATTTTCATTCATATACAAAACTATTTCTAGGATTGCATATAATTAGGATGAACGATTTATGCAGTCTTTGGAATAAAGCAAAAATTAATATAAAGAGGGGTTAACATAATGCTCGATTTTAAGGTTTAATTGTGTGAGTTAAGAAAAATAGTTATATTTTTTAATGTCATGGAATTTACCGTTACCGTTAGTGTCAAAAATTCAAATTTTACAAAATTCAAGAGGCGATAACTTGAGAGGGGGTGGAGATGGAAAAAAATTTTCTTCTAACGAAACGAACTATTGGTTATTGTCTAAAAGCTCCTAAAATTTCAAGCTTCTACAGGCTGGGGTCTAGAGGAAAAATGAAATCAAAAATTTGGAAAAAAAAGACTTTAGATAACGGTAAATTTGAACGGCCATTTTGTTTTTCTAAAGTTTAACTATAGTATACCACGCTAGGGAAAGCGGGCCGCTGTCTTTCTGCTTTTGCAAAATTTCAAAAATGCTTATGGTTTCATTGCAACAAATAGTTAAAAAAGGCCTTTTTTTTTGTGTTTTGGGGGGGTATAACTTGTAGAGGGGGGGAGATAGGTAAAAATTTTGACGGACGGACAGAGTGAAACTAATAAGCACTTTTTTTCAAAAATTTTTTGGAAAAGTGCTAAAAAAACATAATTAATTTTGCATATTTCGCGGGAGTTGTAGCTAGGTTCGCTTACCTAAATTCAAACCAATTTCCAATTTTAC